ACGCAGGTTTTCAGTCGCAAGCTTTTTCAATCACTAATGGGACCCGTCAGGGATGCCCATTATCCCCACTTCTCTATGTGTTAGCTTTGGAACCTCTTGCAATATCAATACGGAGAAATGGTAACATCCACGGTGTGTTAGTAGGCAATAAGGAGTATAAACTTAGCTTATTTGCTGACGATGTATTTCTTACAATAACACAACCACTTATCACACTCCCCTCTCTGCATAAAGAACTGCAATTATACAGCCAACAATCATACTATAAACTTAATATTGTAAAAACGCAAGCTATGTGTCTTAATACTACGAAGGCAATGGAAGACAGATTAAAAATAAGCTATCAGTATGATTGGAGAGAAGATTGGAGAGAAGATTATTTAATTTTCTTAGGTGTCAGAATAACTAATAAAGAGAAAGAGCTCTTCTCAGCTAACTACACAAAGCTTCTGAAAGAAATTGATAAACAATTGGATTCATGGAAACATCTGTTCTTATCTTGGATGGGAAAGATCGCAGCGTTTAAAATGTCAATTCTACCAAAGATTTTATATCTTTTTAGAGCATTGCATATTAAACTTCCGCAAAAGTATTTACTGTCTCTTCAAGCATCCATTGTACGTTTCAGCTGGGGTGGTAAACACCCGAGAGTACCTAAAGCTTTACTTTTGAGATCTGTGATGAATGGTGGAATGGGAATACCTAATATAAAAGCATATTATCACTCAGCTATTTTAAGGAATGTTATTAGTGTTCATTCAAAGGATTATTCCCCCCAATGGGTAGCAATAGAAAGTAATTATTGTGGAACACAAGACCTTTCAACAATACTTTGGAAACCGTATCAAATGAGACAAAAAATTGAGAATATGTTACCTTCAACTAAACATTTTCTCAAAATTTAGGACACTTGTAGAGACAAAATATGTTCAGCATATCCATGGGCCCATGCGACCCCAATTAAAATTTTATTTTACTGTAATGGTACGTTTCCTTATCAGAAATGGGAAAGGGCAGGTATTGCACATTTATTCCATTTATGCAGTATAAAGGGCCTTAAATCTTTTCCAGCATTACAAGAAGAATTTTCATTACCCTCAAATTTTATATTTGCCTATCTCCAAATTAAAGCGATGGTAATCATAAATAAGATTTCAACAGCAGAATTAACGCTTCAAGCTTCCATAACAGAATTTGAAAAACAATGCTTATCGTTACGTCCTCCGAAAAAGACATTGTCTATTTGTTATCAAAAATTGGCTAACCCTGTTGAGCAGAGTAATTGGAAATTTATGCAAGATTGGCAAGAAGATTTAAAAGTTAACATTCCCCTGACGGAATGGAAACAAATGTTTACGGCCCATATAGGGCTAACTACCAGTACCGCCCATATTGAGGCAGCACGGAAAATTCTCTATAGGTGGTACCTAGTACCAACACGTTTAAATTCTATGTTCCCCTTACCGTCAAACCAGTGCTGGAGATGTCATAAAGCTAAAGGTACTATGTTACATGTCTGGTGGTCATGCGAAGCAGTTAATTCCTTATGGAATGATGTTATCAAGATGATAAAACATGTGACAAATATTGAACTATCTCAAGATCCTAAAACTATACTGTTACGACTACTTCCAAGTAATTTACCAAAATTAAGCAAGAAAATGATTTTTCTCTTATTAAGTACAGCATCTATATTAATTGCTAGACAATGGAAGACCAAGGTTTTACCTTCTCGACGAGAAATTGAAGAATTAATGACCTCAACAGTGGAACATGAATTGTTAATGTGGAATCAAATGAAAATAGGGAAATCAAGCCCTGGTATAGACCAAATGTGGCGGATATATTTACTATCACATACTAATTAAACTCTGGATTATTTAGATAAACCTAGAGGCCTCTATACGGAATACATTTTGCTGACTATAATCAACATATAGATGATCTCATTTAATCATTTAATTAGTTATGGAAGAAAATAACTTTATAAAATAACTTTATAAATTAAGCTAGGTTAACATTCTTCCCCTACCCTGCTTTTTTTTTGTTTTTGTTTTTGTTTTATGTGTGTTTTGGTTTTTTTTTTTGTTTTTTTGCTTTTTTTGGCATGATTGGTAAGGGGATATTTTTTAGAGTGATAACTGTCACTATTAGTGGCTAAAGCAATGTAGACAATATAAGGGTTAGTTTAGAAGAAAAGTAAAATGATAGAGAAGAGGAGAGGGAGGGAGAAGGGGAAAGAAAGGAGAGAGGAAAAAATATTTTGTGAATATGTATATTAATTATTACTGTAATTTACTGTATATAATTTAAGATACATGAACGATATAAGATTGGTTATATTTTGGAATTTAGGCACATATAAAGTGATGAACTATATGCTATCGATGATATGTATAGAGATAAGTGACCTTGTTTGGTTGTTTTTCCTTCCCTTTTTTTCTTTCTGTATCCCTTATTATTTGAAAAAGATAAAATAAGAGAGTAAATTGTAAAAAAATAAATAAAAAAAAAGAAATCCTTTTACCTTCTCAGCAGTAATTTGATCTTGGCAGCACAATTCACACAGAAAACGCCAAAGAAACAAGGTACAGCAGCGGTTGAATTTCGCGCCATGTACCTTTAAACCCGCCGATCCGCGCATGCTCGGAGACTTCAAAAAAAAAAAATTTTTTTTTTTTCAAAGTCCCCAAATTCCTTCATCGCGCATGCGCGCGACGGAACTGCCCCACGGCGCCATTTTGTGACATCAGAAGCAGAGCATCTAGTTGCTGAATAGCTGAGCTACCAGAAGAAAAGAAGAAACTTATACAGCACCTGCATACAGATCAAGGATAACAGGTAAAATGTAATCCAGACTTATAAATGTCAGCAGCCTGATAGCAGCACAAGAGAAGATTACTCAGCTAAGCTTCTCCAAAAAGCCCTTGCCTCCTGTGGAGAATAAGCCCACTCCACATTATAGATGGGGAATATGCATCAGGGGATTTTTAAGGTAACCGACCCCTATAAAACAGATATACTCATATGTATATATACACTGCACCAAATTCAGTTTAGGGAATTAAAGAAATACGAACCCCTGAATTGTGCCTTCCTGAAATCCAGATACATAGTCCAGAATCTTCATGTATGACAGTCTCTAAACTGCACACACCAAACTCAGTTAGTTCTGCCCGTGCAGCCTGATTACTGAGTTCTTCAGATGAAGAGAGGCTGAACTTCATCTGGTAAACCCACAGTAAACGTGGGAGGTGGCCAAAAAATAAAATCTGACTGTAGAATAAATTCCTGTTGTCCAGCTGAGGACAGAAAAAAGACTGAGGTATGGAGGGAGGAGGAACCCTTTATGCCTACAGCCTCATTAATTGTTTAATTGTTTTCTGTCCTGATCCGGTTGAGGGTGGAGCTAACCCCATAAGTGATGCTGCCATGATTAGCCAGGAATGTTGGATATCTGCTCCTGAAAACAGTATCTGTATTTCAAGTCACTAAGGCGAACCTGTAGTAAAAAAAAAAAAAAAAAAGGAAAAACTTACCTAAAAGCTCCCATATACATTACATAGTTACATATGCTGAAAAGAGACATGTGTTCATCAAGTTCAGCCTTATTCACATTTGTTTTTTGCTGTTTTGGAAAGTCAGATTTATCCTTGGATCAAGAAGCTATTACCCTACAATTGAAAAATTATATCCTTGAATATTATGTTTTTGCAAGTATGCATCTAGTTGCGGTTTGAACATCTGTAAGGACTCTGATAAAACCACCAGAGGATTCCACATCATTGTTTTTATAAAAAAATAAAAATATTATATATTTTCCTTAGACTAAATCTCCTTTATCCAAGTCTAAATGCATTCCCCCGTGTCATTTGTATAGTCCTGTTTGTGAATAGCTTTCCAGACAATGGTTTGTATTGGCCACGGATATATTTGTATAATGTTATCATATCCCCTCTGAGGCGCAGTTTTTCTAAACTAAAGGCGTTTACATTTGTTAACCTTTCTTCATTTCTAAAATGTTGCATTCCTTTTATTAAAGGAACACTACATGGTCAGGAACTCCTGACTCTATAGTGTTAAAATCACCATCAAGCCACCTTGCCCCTGCCATCCTAAAAATAATACAATATTACTTTTAGTCAAGTCTGTTGCTGCTGGCTCTTCTTCTTACATGATAGAAATAATCTGTCCAATCACTTTCTTTTTGTCAAAATCTTTATGAAGCAGTTTGACCAAATTAGGGAATCCCTAAGCACATATAGTGTTTCCGCTTTGCCTCCCCTGAATGCTCATACTCCCAAACATCTTATATTAAATATGGGCACGAGGAAAAATAATGTTTTGTTTTAATGTTCTAATTTTGTGTTATCCGAAATGCTAAAAATATCAGTTCTGGAGAAACGTAATTCATAATTGTCGCAATCTACTTTTTCAATTAAATTACAGGGGGCTGCCATTTACTGTCCCACTAGGTAGATGTAACGGCTACCCTGGTGTAGAGAGGGTACCAGCCGTTAGGGACGTCCTTTTCTTCCTGGAAGTCGCTGTGTAGTGATGGAGTCGCCTATTCCCTTCTGCTGGATCAGGAGTGGAAACCAGGTGCAGCTCTGAAAAGAGCCAAGTGATTAAGCTGCAGAGATTCCCCTTTCAAGAACGAGACAAGGCTACGTTTTGAAGGGTCAAGAAGAACCAGCTCCATAGCCAAACCCACCTAGTTGGTAGCAAACCTCAGCAATACAAGAGAGCAGGCAATACATTACACAGTACACACACACACACTATAAACAATTACATTACACACACCCTGCACCTATAATGGGTACAGGGTGACTAAAACATAGGATAAATAAAGCAGCCCACATAAATAGTCTGTCTGAAGGTAGACTAGGGGCTTTAAAGCCAGATAGATGAAAGAGTCATAGTCACAGGGGAGGAGACTGGCAAGAAGGCCTCTCCAGGACCAAGTGGCGAAGGACACTTCGTCACAGGCTGTATAATCCATTTGTCCTTTTGTAGGCATACTGGGCTTGTTGTTACAGTAGATGAAGGACATATTGAGCTCTGGGAGAGAAAATTGTTATTTCTACAGTTTGAAAACTGGAAATTTAGCTGGCAGAAAGAGAAAAGCACCAAATGGGGCTTTGTACCAAATTTATTTTGTAAAGAAAATTAAATTAATCCACATATGCATATTATTGGAAATTATGTGGTTCAGCTGATTGTATCATCCTGGGTCAGTTTTTGCCAGTTGAGGGCAACAGTTCTATGCAGCTTTCATCCTAGATGGAGGACCTATGGATCCTGCAAGTCCTTTCAAGCTTAAATGTTGAATATTTCAGACAATAACATTTGACTTAATTGATAATATAATGCACACATTATTAGTAAAGCAAGGTATCAACAGACTCGTCTTGATCAGTGGAATGGAAGCATTTTCTGATATTGCCTAGTACAATAAAATGGTGTCTTTTGTATATTGTACATGTTTGCCATGCATGACCTACCCCCACAAAAACTTGTATTCACATCAATATCTGTGTGCCAGAGCATCTCACAAGTGAAAGTTCCTCTTGAAAAAAATAAAACAATTTCAACGTGTAAATCGTGAGATACTATAGCAATTCAAAAGAAAATCAGAATCAGAATTTCACAACAGATTACAGTAGATTCTCGGTGCAAACCAACAAATGGGATTCAAAGAAAACAGAACGTTGCAATCCGCTTTCCACAACAAAATTTACTCAAAATTGTCTCTTTTTTTTATTTTACTTTTCTTGTGCTTAGCTCCTACAACTCACCTGGAAAAACAAAACTAGTACAAGAAAGATGTGTAGCCTTCAAAGTAGTCTTTATCATCACAAATTAAACATCTTGGCACTCTGTTTTCCCAACAGTTGATTACTGAAAGCTCAGGTCATGTCCTGCTGATGTAGACAGCAATGATGGAGATATTAAACCAGTTAATTTAAATTAAATTTGTATTGCGATTTTGAATGCATAGATGTAAAACCATGTCCATGTAACATAAGAAAGCCCTGATGTAAATCTTGGGCAAAAGTTTTGGTTAGATTCAACCATTTTGTTCAGTAAAGTCATGATCACAGCATGTCAGCACAAAAGAATTCCATCTTTAGCACTCAGTCTTTGGCGATGTATTTCATCTTGCTGTAACTCCTCTGTAGTTGGATGCCAGAGCTTCATTAGGACCCGTTCTATATTTAACGCGTACACCGTATGTGACGGGACGACTTCTCTGTGAATCTGCAAAATAAATTGAAAAACATTTAGCATTTAAGCGTCTAGTAGCCAGTGGCACAAGTTACTAGGTCTGTACAACAAGGATGGATCAGCCAAGAAAAGAGCAGGTCCACCTAAATAAGCCTGGCATGAACACACGCCAGGCTGTCTGCCAATAAAGCAGGCCAGCCCACTGAGGCAGACCATGCAGTGAGCATGTTTCAGTGCTCTCGGCAGCGCTCTATAGCCCACAGTGTAGTATGAGAATATCTAATAATGTGCTTGCACAACAGTTTTTGGGGATAGTTCTAGTTCCAAGGTACTGTTCCAACGAATTCCGGATGCTTGGTAGGCATGCTTCAGAAAAATAAAAAAATAATAATATATGTATAGAAAGGAAGTGCTCCGACTGCTGAAGAAAGATCTGTATACTGAAGTAAATCTTGTTTGGTTCCTCAAATAAGCAACAAGGCTCAATGACACAGACTATGGCAGAAGATGTTGCGTACTGTCTACTTGAGATATCAGAAAGCATTATGTTCCTATGACTTTGACTAAGGGGAACTTTTAGGTTTTGGTGTATAGGTCATGTCCCTGCAGTCTCACTGTCAATTTCCTTCCATTTAAGAGTTATTTTGTTTATGCAGCCCAATACACACCTCCCATGTCTGCCTGACACAGCCTCCCTAGGCACTTCCAGAAAAAGAGTCAAAATTATTTTTTAGCTTTCCTCATGTGCTCACTGTGTTTAATTCAGAAGTTTCTATCTCATGCTCTGATAACTTTATGCTCGAGTCTTCATCATATGCTCGATTCAAATAACTTCAAAAATCTGCTTGAAAATAATTTTATTTTTTTATTTTTCCCCAAGGAGGCTGTGTGAGTCGTAGCCAGAAGAGTGTGGTTAAGGCTGCATGAACAAAGTGATGTAACTCCTAAATAGCAGAGGAGCAGCGAGTCTGTTGTGGCACAATCTATACACCAAAGTCGCTTTATTACTTTTTTTGGTGCTTCAAGTATCCCCCTTTAAAAGGACACTATAGTTACAAGAACAACTATAGCTTAATGTAGTTGTTCTGGTGTGTATAGCATGTCCCTGCAGGCCTTTTACTGTAAACACTGCCTATTACGACACATGTTTTCATTACTGCCTAGTATCAGAGGTTTCAGATGTTTTCATTACTGTTTTCATTACACCTCAGAGTGTTAGTTACTCAGACAGCCAAAGCAGGTGCTTCTTAGAGGTGCGGCACTGACGTTCAGCGTCTCCACTCACTGCATGGAGTTGAATGGTCCCTACAGAGATGCACTGATTAAATGCATCTCTATGAGGAGATACAGATTGGCATAGCGCTGCATTTTGCAGCACATGCTCAATAGTCTACCAATGCTTTCCATCAAATTTGAAGATTTCAGAAAAGGAGGTGGAGCACGGTAGAGCCAGTTGCAGCGAGACCAGTGTGATATTGTTGGGGGGGGGAAGAGGGGGAACCACACTTGGTCGGACACCTAAACAGTGCTTTTAAAACAATAGTGTCAGGAATACGTTTGTATTCCTGACAATATAGTGTTTCTTTAAGGAATGCCAATAAATATGATTTTAATACAAATTGCATGTGATGTGTACATGCAGAGTCTTTTCTGCAAACAAAAAGGATAAGGCAAATAATGATTAATTAGCCAATCCATTATACCAAATAAATTATGGGATCCATCAACCCTGAAAAGTCTCTGGTATGCAATTCTATTTTCTTTACCTGTAATGCTTCTAAAAGGTCATACATGTTAACAGGAGGTAGGCTGGCTGGTACGTTGTCTCCTGAACAGGCCAATAAAAGGGCAGCTTGTTGTTCTGCATCATCAGGGTGCACTTGTGTTCCAGGATTCAGGTTGCCATGGGTAAGAGTGGACGCAGAGGGGCTAAAAGACAGAATAAATTGCAAAAAATATATAATATACCAGTAAACAGATCAGCAACACATATTTTACCATTTCTTTCAAATGTTTTACCTTGGCCAGAGGGCAGAGGGTGTCATACTGCACTTTAACACTTTATTTGCACTTCCCTGGAGAGTGGAATGCTGGTAAATAAACCACTCAATTTAGAAACTCCCAGGTTCTGATTCAAACAGCACAAGATGTCATCATTTTATTATAGTAACCAAGCTCAACTCAAAACTATTTCTATGCTTCAGTGCTTTTATAAAGAAAATATTTTAAACTTGGTCTTTTGTTAAAATGCAAAACTATTGCACAATTTCCTAGCTTAAGTGCACTGAAGGAAGGGAAACCCAGAACGCATACATGCACAGAGCATGTCAAGAATAGGGTAACATGCTCATGTATTGGACAGAGGAATATTCAACAAAGGAAAGTATTCATATTTAGCATTCGGGCTACAATTCCAAGAAGGACCCTCTCTGCGCTAGTAAGTGCTTATGTTCAAATAGTATAGTAAGGTCAGAATGAGGGCCAAGTCAGAATATTGAAAAATTTTTGAGAGGGAAAACTATAATCTAAATAAAAGCATACTAAATGATTTAGTCACAGGCCTGATTTTGTTCATAACAATGGGCAGTGTACAAAAATTAAAATTTATATTTTTTTCATTTTACTTTAAAATATTCCTGATGATCTAACTTGTTAAAAAAAAAAAAAATATTAGCATGTTCCAGCTGGGAAAAAGAAAATTTAAGGCATGTAGAATCTGCAACTTCAAATAATTATTACTTCTTACTGATGAGAAATGTCTACAAAGCTCTGGATACAATAAATATATTACTGCAAAATCAGTTTATCCGATTTTACCATTTATAGGTATATGTCTGCATAAAATGAACATTTATAATTTATTTTGTAACCTACTGACATCATTGCTACCAAAGGAGAAATAAAAATATTATTGTTTTATCCCCTTAAGGACCAAACTTCTGGAATAAAAGGGAATCATGACATGGCACACATGTCATGTGTCCTTGAGGGGTTAAGCATGTATTTGCAGAAAATTACAACTGGTCAAAATAACTAAAATGATGATATGATTTACTGTACTGTTACGGTGTACAATATGGTTTTGTTTTTTACTTTGGAAGACCCTATATTAAGATTTGGTGGAATTAATGATTTTTAATTACAGTCTTGCAATAGAAATGCATTAAGTTTATTACACAGAATACTGTCAAAATAACAGTAGTTTAAATGTTTTTAGGGGAAAAGGATTTTATGTATGTGGAAGCTTTTAATTTAAAAAAAAAAAAAAAAAGATAAATTGCTGAAGTGCCTATGTTATATATTTTTCACAGTGTGCTTGTGATGCACAATCTATTTAGAGCACACATTTTGACAGCTTCAATTTTAAACACACACATACATATATACATATACGCGCACACACAGTCAGTTCAAAATTGCCAAAAAATTATATATAGCTTTCCAGCAGGAGACCTATCAAATCAAACGACCTCTCTCCAAAAACATCAGACAGCAGTGCAAGCCCACCAGATGGGATAATAGATCCCCTTATAACCACAGTCCATAAATATAGAAGGCATAACATAGAGATGTATATGTCACAGCTTGACTGGGTTCAAGTACCGTCAGGCATAACACTTGAGTCCATTTCCATTGATGGTAGTACTGGTGGTTACAAATACACATAAATAAGTCCTGCACTCAAACTCCCACTACTCTTGGGTGGCAGCAACAACCACAGTACACATCAGTCCCAATACATACAGTAAATACTAAAAGAAAAAAAAAGTTACCTGTGCTCTTCCCAAATCCCTTTGCATCCAATGGCCATTAGATGCAAGCCACCTGCCAAGTCAAGGCAAACCTCTTGGGTGGATCCTAAATTAACAATTCACCTTGCTTCCTTTATTACTGGTGGTCAACTTGTTGTTGGTCCAAGATATGACACAATCATGTTTCGATTTCTTCTCATTTGCAATGTGCGTCCTGACTGTGCCTGGCCTGGACTGGATTGGATTGGGGTGCAGTTTGCCAATTCTTTAATATACATTTAATAATAATAATAATAATAATAATAATATGGGCATCACATAAAAATGGTTTAAGGTGATGGCGAAGGTACCATTTAATGGTGCAGTTTCCAGAGACGTGAAGGTTCCTCTTTAAATGTGAACAACAAATACTCTTTAGTTAAACATTTCAAAGCTTTGACTATTACGAATATAAACCTATTCCTCACTTGTTTAGATTTTTTGGAAATTCTTTTTCCATTTAAAATAAAACCCCTGATTTTGAAAGAGAGATCTTTTATGCATAATTTGAAAGATAGAAACTGACATTTCTCAGTTTTTTTCTGTTTACCTATCCCTATATTTGTTTATGTTACAATGCTGCCGGCCATCCCATGTGTTACTTATTAGGGGTTAATGAGCATATAGGGGTGTATATAAAAAAAAAATACCTCTTTCTGTCTCATTAGAGATATCCTTGCCAGAAGCTCAATGAAGCAAGGTGAATGGTTAGAGTTAGGACCCACCTGAGAGGTTTGCCTTGACGTGGTAGGTGGGCTAAACCCTCTCATGGCTATTGGTGAAACTAAATAACCTCCATTTGTTAAAATATGCATAGTGATTTGAGATGAGCGCAGGACTTTTTTTTTGTATTACTTTCTCTAGATTTAAAAAATACATATTTGTGAGGTGTGTTTTAAAAAAGAATCACACTTTGTTATCCTACAACGGAATGTCTTCATCCTAGCTTTCTGTCAATCATTGCTATAAACTCTGTCCTTTACAACTGGCAGATAAGCACAGAGAAACAATGAAATAAATTAATCTTTCTCCACTTCATTTGCAATTTTCTATCTTTAATTTAAAGAATTTCTCCTACCCCCTCCATTTTTTTTTTTAAACCAGTCAGAAAATAATGCCCTATTGGTATTTTTCATAACAGCCCCCAGCATGTGGCACTAAAGTCACCAAAACAACTTTATCTTAATGAAGCAGTTTCAGTGTAGAGATCATGCCCCTGCAGTCTCTCTGCTCAGTTCTCTGCCATTGGTGTTAAATAACTTTGGTTATGCAGGCCTAGTCACAACTCACTGCATGTGACTTACCCAGCCTCCCTAAACACTTCCTGTAAAGAGTCATCAAATGTTCACACTTCCTTTATTGCAAACTCTGTTTAATTTAGAATTTCTTATCGCCTGCACTGTAAATAGCATTCTAGACCCTGCAGGATCCTCCTGTATGAAATTAGAGATACATTTAAAGAACAGGAGATAAAACATTTAAAGTATTTTACATTTGTATTCATGCAGGCTGTGTCAGTCACAGCCAGTGAGGTGTGGTTAGGGAAGCATAAAGAGAAACAAATGTGATTAAACTCCTAAATGGCAGTGAATTGAGCAGTGAGACTGCAGAGGCATGATCTATACAGTAAAACTACTTAATTAAGCTAAAGTTTTGTTCCCTATAATATCCCTTTAAGGTTTACGTACCTTAATCTAGCTCTCGTGCTGCTCGGCATGCCCCTTCTGATATTACTTGAGCCGCACAATTAACAATATTCCTATATCTGCAGTGTTTCAAGCTGAAACACTGCACTTACATACTCCTACCAGTATGACCACATCAAATCACTAAAGTAGTCATGGCGGTTAAAGTAACGCTTTAAATGTAAAAGAAAGAGCCACTCAACACAAGCTATCAATAAGTTTAATGTTTTATTAAATTGTGTACATTTTAAAGAAGAAGTTATAGTTCCCATTTAAGTCATTCATCTTCTGAATAAGGACTACGTGGTACCCTCCAAAGTTTTCAGTGTTATTCTAATCAACAAATGCCAATTATTGACATCCTGATAGATAATTTTCATTCTCTGTCCTATTCTACATAACACATCATCTAGACAGTTTGAATAGTGCCTAGATATGTTATGTGGCACTGAAATGCATCAATAATGCAAATATAATCATGTGGAATTGTGAAGAAAATTTTATTTATAGCACTAGTCAAATCTAAACCATATACTTTAAATCAATTTTATTTCTATTCTTCATTTTTAGAGTATGCAAAGAACATAAATATATAACAACTTTTGGGTATCATGCCTCTCTTTAGCCACACAGTGTTGGTACTAAAACTCTTTAATACTTTTCATCTGTCTTATTACTGCTGGTTATACAGAATGTCTCAACAGTGCCACCCAGTGGGAAACCTAAATACTTATCTATGTTAAATAATAATTGCATACCAAAAGAGTTGTGGTGGGGCAAAGCTTAAATTTTACTCACCATAAATGCCTTTTACCTTAATATGGTGGCAGTACAATAGGGATGTACTCTTCCCACGGGACTAGCATCTGAAATAAAAATTAACATAAAAAGTTCCTCCCCCCCCCCCAACAGGTATAAGACCACTGACCTGCCATGAACCCTCAGTACGTCAGAAAACATCAGAGACTCAATATAGAAAACATCAGATACTCAATATAGAAAAAATATCAAATTAATTCATAAAGGGAGGGAGTGATGTACTGCCACCATATTAGGGAAAAATGAATTTATGGTGAGTAAAATTTAAGTTTTTCCTGACATATGGTGGCAGTACAATAGGGATATATCGAGATCCCAGAACTATGGGTAGGAATTATGCAACCACCGCTTGTAACACCTTATGTCCAGCGTCAGAGGCAGAGAATATGTCTAGTCGGTAGTGTGTGACGAAGGTGTTGAACGAAGACCATGTAGCAGCTCTGAAGATATCTGCTGTTGAAGCTTGTGCTTTTTCTGCCCAGGAAGTAGCCATGTCTCTTGTTGAATGGACTTTCAAGGAGGTAGGCAAAGGCAGATTTGAGGAAGAATAAGCCAACTTAGAGTAGACTTGGAGGCAGCATGACCTTTGAATTTTCCAAATAAATTGAGAAAAAGATGGTCAAGTCTTCCTGTATGCAGAGGAGCGGTCTAAGTAGATTTTTGGAGATCTTCCGACATCCAACTTGTGCCAGTTATCCTCCAGATTGGAGACCGATGGACAACTATAGGAAGGCAGGGAAATTGGTTGGTTAATAGCCCTGGAAGAGATTACTTTTGGCAGAAATAAAGATTTCGGATACAGAACAACCTTGTATTGAAAAATCTTTGTAATATCTGTAGAAGATGAAAGGGCCTGAATTTCACCTATTCTCTTAGTAGATGTTATGGCCACCAAAAATGCTGTTTTTAGGGACAGAAGTTCCAGAGAAGCTTCCTCCAAGGGTTCGAAAAGCTAGGTACAAAGAGACTTCAATACCAAAGACAGGTCCCAAAAGAAAAAAAAAAAAAAAACTATTTTCTTGGAGACCTAATGAGCCTGACTGCCTTAAAAAATCTCGAAGATTTGAAGCCAAGTTCTTTATCAAAAAGTGGCTAATGGCAGAAACAAACTTTAAGGGTAGACAAACTAAAACCTTCTTGTAGAAAATGCAAGATTGTATCTGTAGAAGGAGAAGATCTTAGGCAATGATGAGAGATGCACCAATGCAGGAATTTCATCCAAATTTTCAAGTAGATAGCAGAGGTAGATTTTCTGGTGGAATTCAACAGTAACTTGAATCTCTCTTTCTTAATGTCCCTGTTATGCAGGATTGGATAGCATCCATGCGGTCAGTAGAATCTGTACAGCTTAAATAGGCTTCGGTATTTTAAATTTAGCGCCATTTCCAGGAATTTCTGACGTGCTGTAGCACTGTCGTAACTCTGGTGGAACGCATCCCCACGCTGTGCGCATGCGTCTTGCTCGGGCAGTGATTGGCTGCTGCTTCAGACCTCCTACTTGCTTAGCCAGTGACCGCACTCGGCATAAAGCAAGCTACACATACCTGCTCTGTAACTCTGCAGGATGAAGGCAGGCCACTCAGCTCTCCACCTGGGAGGCAAAAATGTGGTTCTATGTTGAGCTCATTTGCATATGCCTACCCAGAATCCCTTGCAGTAAGGAAACCACTGTTAAAGTGAGATTTCTATGGGAAAAGCAAGTCTTATGGCTTGACTGGTGTGTGCATTTGTATTTAGCAATGTATTAACTATCTAAATCAGCCGTTCCCAAACGGTGTGTCGCGGGCACACAGGGGAGCTGTGATATATTTCCCAGTGCTATGATCATAGCACCGGGAACTGTGCCTCCCTCTCCCCTGCCAGCTCTGCAGGACCGGAGGAGATATCAGAAATCTCCTTCTCCGGCCTGCTACCGCTACAGCACGCTGGCAGGGGAGGGAAAAGGGCCCCGGGGGAGCTCTAACCTGCAGCTTCCCCTGGATTTTTTTCTCTCGTGAGCTCAGAGCATTGCTGCCGTTACCATGGCAACGCTCCGAATCTTGCAAGAGTCAACTCTAGCAGCGCCTAAGGTTGCTAGAGTTCACTCTCACCACTGGGACCACCAGGGCTTCCCCATCAGACCACCAGGGATTAGTACTGTCCCCACAGGCAAAGGTAAGCAGGGACGGGGGATATTAAAATAGTAAGAAAAAAATGTTTAATTAAATAAAAAAAAAACGTACTACTTACTAAAAAAAAAAAAAAACATTTTCTACCCTCCTACCCCCCCCATACACACAAACAGTACCCCTCACACACAAACACTACATCTTTCACAAACACAATGCACCCCACACACATATTGCAGGTCTAGACACATTACTGCCCCTATCCCCTACTACAGCCCCTATCCTGGCAGATTCCAGGTTGTCAAATTGTTGTTAAACGGTCACCATAATCACTACAAAGTGCTGTAGTGGTTATTGTGCCTGGATTGTTTCTTTAAATAATCTACCAGTGCCCCTCCAGAGATTAGGTTCTCAATCTGCGCTTGAACAGCAAACATTTCTGCTGGACAGGGGCCCAGTATATGCCGCTGCGCTGTACATATGTACAACCTAGAAAATTATTTTAACTTGGGGCGCCTTGGAAAAATAGTGAAATATTAAGGGTGCCTTGAACCTAAAAAGTTTGGGAACCACTGATCTAAATAATAATTGAAAGATGTGTAATTATTAAAATGAACTGTCCATTTGCAGGATTTTTTTATATTTTGTTTGTGTGTCATCCACATTTAGCAAATATGCCTTTGTGAGTTTTAAAAAATAAAATTAAATGGAGAAAGCCACACATCTGCCCTGGAACTGGGCAGCTCTATTTTGGACCACTGTCACATATTGTTATAAAACGTGTTGCCATTAAATATAGCCAGTTAAAGAGATGTTTCTTTTCGCCTCATTCATTATATGCCCTGCTATACCTGAACTAAACTGTGGTGTCACGTGCCCAATTTTTTATATACACCATATCAAATATATTCAAATGGGCAGCAACCCTATAAGGGAATCCCTCAAAACATCCTTAAAGTATGACAAAAGAATAGAAAATGGGAAATAAGGGCTGCGCCAGAGAGACTTTATATAAAACAATAATAACAGATAGTCCAAATAAAAAGAGTCTTATCTAAAATGCTCTTATTGGAGTCAAAGAGTCTATAAGGTGCTTGGTCAGGAACAATGTCCTCGCTGTCCTCATCCGTGTAAATCCACTCATATGCAAGAGATAAAACAAATAGAGAACCAAATAGTGCAATAGGTCCAATCATAAAATAAATAAAATATAAAAGGCTGGTATAAAACTCACATGTACAAGAGCTATAGCTAGCTCTAGTGTAAAAGACGTACAGCGGTACAATCCCCGCTCATGGGATATGGGGTAAACTTCCTCCGTCAATGGTATGTTCGACACTCAAATAAAAAGAGACAACCAATAGTGCTCACTGGATAAAATAATGGAAATAAAATATAAGGAAGGAGCAGACCAACTGCTCCTTGAAGATAGCGCTGGTGGTATGATTACTTGGAGTCCAGGGTAATAAAAATGCCAGGTAAAAAAACAATCCAGTCCAGCATAGAACTCAGAGCTCCATATATATATATATATATATATATATATATATATATATATATATATACACACACACAATACATAACAGGTAATAAATATATTCAGCCATGACAGGTGCATTCAGTGCTGAGGTAAATTGCCATAGATCTCTTAAAAGATTTTAGATTGAATGAAGATTTGACTGTGTCCCTGAAGTTATTCCAGAATTGCAGTGCTCTGTAGGAAATGGAGGATTGAGACACTTTTTTAAAAAAAAATTTTTATTGCGGTATGCCAAATATCGTGCTAGTACTAGATCGGAGGTTATAGGAGGTCAGAACAGCTGGGGAGAGCATTCTATTCAGGTAGGGTGGGAGCTTCCCAGAAATGCTCTTATGCACAAGGCTGGAAAGATGAAGTGTGCATCGGGATTCCAGCGAGAGCCAGTTTAGCTCTTTTAACACGGTGGTGGGTAAAGTAATTACATTCTAGTACAAAGCGGCAGAATGAATTATATAACGTATTAAGTTTATTAAGGTGGGTTTGCGGTGCGGGTGCATACACTACATCCCCACAATCAATGACCAGCATTAGCATATGTTGCACTGTTTCTTTACTGTAGGGCTTAGGCAGGATTTGTTTCTGGACAGGGCACCAAGTTTTGGGTAAAGTTTTAAAAAGATTTTTTCAATGTGAAGGCCAAAGGATAGATTGAAATCTAGCAACATACTTAGATATTTAAAAAAGCAGACTGCTGTCAATGTGCGATTTGAATTTGTTCCGATACATAGTTGTTGATTTTGTAGTTTACGTAATTTAGGTACAGTTCCAAAGATCACTGTAACAGTTTTGTCAGTGTTTAGGAAGAGTTTGTTATCCACTATTCCACCTGAATTGGTTTTGGAGCTCAGCCTACAGCTGTGGTAGCTTGGGTTTACTAGCGTAGATTACAGTGTCATCTGCATGCATGTGAACAGTTCAGGATTTGCAGACTTTAGGCAGATCATTTATAAATAAAGTGAAGAGCAGGGGGCCGGGTATGGAGCCCTGGGGAACACCACACGTGAAGAGGGAGGGAAGCATTATCAGAAATGGCCACATATTGCAATCGGTCTGAAACATATGATCGAAACCAGATTAGCGGATGATCGCCAATGCTTGAGTTTTTAAGTTTTTGCAAAAAGTATACCATGGTCTACTGTGTCAAAGGCCTTGGCAAAATCAAGGAAAATAGCTCCAGTTAAGTCTCCTTGTTTCATGACAATTTGGATGTCATTGCAAACTTTTAAGAGGGCAGTCAAGGTTGAGTAATTTGGACAAAAGCCTGATTGATCAGGGGTCAGATAATTTGATCGTTAATAATATTCGCATCGTTGCGAGTGGACGCATTTTTCCAAGATTTTTGACAATACAGGGAGCAATGATATCGGGCGATAGTTAGATACCAAAATATTGTCACCACTTTTATGGGTGGGTACAACTTTTGCAGTCTTCCAAAGTTTGGGTATGTATCCTGACACCAGGAATTCATTGATAAGAGTAGTGACAGGTTTAGCCATTGCTGGCGCACTGAGCTTCAGCAGCATTGCTGGGATTTGATCTGGTCCACACTGGTTTTTCATTTTTAAATTATTAAAGGGACACTATAGTCACCAGAACAATTACAGCTTATTGAATTTGTTCTGGTGTGTAGAATCATTACCTTCAGGCTTTTTGCTGTAAACACTGTCTTTTCAGAGAAAACGCAGTGTTTACATTACAGCCTAGTGATAACTTCACTGGCCACTCCTCAGATGGCTGTTAGAGATCCTTCCTGGGTCATGACTGCCTAAAATGCATCCAAACATTCAGTATCTCCTCCCTCTGCATGCAGACACTGAACTTTCCTCATTCATTGATTCAATTCATCGCTATGAGGAGATGCTGATTGGCCAGGGCTGTGTTTGAATCATGCTGGCTCTGCCCCTGATCTGCCTCCTTGTCAGTCTCAGCCAATCCTATGGGGAAGCATTGTGATTGGATCAGGCCACCACTTCTGATGATGTCAGCAGACTGCTTGTTTTTTTTTAGGCAAAGAGCATGCAGATCTACGGCTTCTGGCTTGAATACAGTAAGATTCTGCTATTTTTATGGAGGCATGAGGGGCCCAGATGGTGGTGTTAACACTATAGGGTTCGGAATACATGTTTGTGTTCCTGACCCTATAGTGATCCTTTAAGATGTTTATTAACGACACTAACATGCACAGGTCTAAAATTAAATTAAATAAAGAAGGGCTATTTGTTATAACTCTCCACTAGCACTCAGCAGATAAGTTACAGCAACAGGGCAGGCCATGGTGTACGATAATTTGTTTTCCAGTTTGAGGTGTGTGCTTATGGCGGTAGTGATGTGAACAAAATGTTTTCAGCTGCAGGGTTAAAATTAGGGTGACCTGGCACCCAGACCACTTCATTGAGCTTAAGAGGACTGGGTGCCTATAGTGGTCCTTTAAATACTATTACTATTAATAGGCTTAACACTGAGAAATGAATAGCAGTTCTTATATTTGCATACATAGGAAAAATGTTGAAGATATTGTTATGTCCAATAGATTTGTAAGGTCTAGAGTTTCTCAAAGAGGAAGATCATGTTAACCTGAACTTAAAATATATAATCTATATCTCTACATTTGATTTCACTATAATGTACAGATTGTAGTTTATTCAGAATAACCTAAAATCCAGCCATTAATGTGTTTCATAAATGACATCTCCAATTTAGCAGATTTTATGGAACTCTCCAGGTACCACATTTTATACATTTCAGACCTTTTAACCTAAACAAGCAGCATTTTTACAAGCTCAAATTTATAATCATTGTGATGCAGCATTCTGCAACTTAATCCTGCTTCCTTTGCCCTACCTCTGACAAAAAACAAAAACAGCACAACTTTATGCATGCTGGTTGCTGCCTTTCTGGCTCATTTTTCCCATGCAATATTTTTTACAAGACAGCTGTACATAACATCAGAAAGCAGAGCAAGTGTTTCTGTGAGATGTACTTCAGATATCTTTCACATGTAGAAACCTACAATGGAACTATGAGAAACCCAGAAACCTCTACTTTGAGAGAAACGTTTCAGTAAAACCAAGTTTGAAATGTGTTAAGTAACCTCTTCATGTACAGTGTGCAGATAAACAGGAAGATCAAGAATGACAGATTAAGTGGAAACTATTAATGTGTAGGCTAGTGACTGTCACATTTCTAATTTGTGCAAGAATGGTAAAACAGCTAGTAGCTGAGCTGTAATTCAACCTTTGCAGCACTGGAGTGAACATCTACTACTGTTCAGACCAGAAAGATAAGTTCATGACTTGTCAAGCTACTTCCTAGTGACAGTAGAACTCAAGTCTGATAATAAGATTGTAGATTGCTTGCAAATACCACAACTTTGAATATAAGTAAATTTTCTTATCTTGTTTATTTTTTGTTGGTTGCACACCATAGTGCTCACTAATAAGTCCTGGAGGCACAGGCACAGGCACACACACACAAGGAAAGTCTATGTAAGGCAGAGGGTGAGACACACAAGGCTATTCACAAACTCCACATTTTAACAAATTAAATTTGAGTGGGAAAATAAAGGGAGGCAAAAAATAAATAAAAAAAAATAAAAAAAAAATTTGGAGAATGGTTTCACATCAATTTTTGTTTCTTTTTTTTGCCTCTGTTTGTCCATTCGAATCTAATTCCCATTTTAAAATTATTCTGTGCACCAGGATAGAGGGATTGGGCTACCACTTTAATACTCATAAAAAAAAAAATTGTTTGTTTTTATTTTTGTATGCCTCTGTATAACTATTTAAATAATTAATAAACCATTTATGATTCCATTCCACAAGTTAAAACTCACCATTCGATTAGTTGATTGTATGCCGCAACACTGTTTCTGAGATAAGGCTGGGGGTTTACGTTGCATCCGAATGCATACCTAAAGTGGCCATCTTTCAAACGGTAGGATTGCCTCCGGGACACCACTGAGGTCAACAAATCCTTTAAATGTTGCTAAAGAAAGATGAAACCACAAATAAATAAGTAGGGATATTGAAGATAAAGCAACAAAAAATAAATAGAAATTTATCATGTTAACGGGAACCGTCACTTATAAAAATTATACAACCAAATAAAATAATGAAAAATCACTTATAGCTCATGTTAACCTTTTAAGATGCGATGTTAGAAATTTTGCAATAAACAGAACGGTGCAATGTATGCTCTGGCAAGGTATACAATGCATTGGAGAAAGACAAAAATCTAATTTTGGTCTGGATTCTATTAGCAAATAAAGTGTTTATTCTGCTTACTGGATAGCAATTTTCATCACAGGTGTCAATGGAGGAAATGCTAGTCAGTAATCAGAGTAAACCTATACTCTGCTTGGAGAAACTAGGACAGACTGGGCTATTCACTAAAGTGAAAATTCAGAGTAGATTTCAAATCTAAGGACAAAATAACCAAACTGGAAAAATTATCTAAGTCCGCAATCCTTCCAGTTTACAAAAAACAAGTCCTGCGCTCAAACTCCAGTTACTCCTGGGCGGCAGCAACGACCATAGTACACACCAGCCCAAATACATACAGCATTTATTTTGAATGCTGGAATGTTCCCATTTCCTTTTAGATTTAGGGACCTGCAAAAAAAATACATTACTTACATTTAATCCAGCTCCCGTGACGATCTCCCAGCCAATGCAAAGCTTCTCGTAGAGTAGCATTGGGATACACGGCACATGTGTGGCAACTGCTGCAATCCACCAGCAACAAATCTCTTAGTAATGGATTGAAACCAAACTTTCTCTCCCTTCTGTCTTGAGCAAGCACTCAAGACTAGTAAGGAATGCATTCCTCTCAGCTGTGTACCTGACAGCTGAGAGTTGTTACCAAGAGAGGTTTAATTTAAAAAAAGTGCACTAATTGATTTGATATATTCAATATTTCCAGCAGTTTTCAACAATTTCTAAAGTACGGTTTTAAAATGGTATTTTATAGGGCAGATTGTGTTGTTATGGATTTATAGTTTTAGTACTGAAGTGATCTAGGTGCCTTTGGTGTCCTTCTAAGAACCTACTAAGTGTATCCTGGTAAAATATGTTTTATAATTGCACCCTCTCATGAGCTATAAGCAAATAGTGTAAGCAATACCTCTAAAGCATGGATAACAATGTTAACAGCTTCTTCTGTTACATTGTCCAGACCATGTTCATAGGCAGTAACAATCATGCGTCCTTCAAGCTGTCCTCGTGTTGGCAGTGTCATAGTGTGGGAACACAGCTTCAGATCATCATCTTCCTGGGGATCTCTGCTAACAAACTGTTGTGCTCCTGCAAGTGGGTTCTGTGGTTGAAATCGATGCTAGAAACAACAAACAGAATAAGCTAAAAATCTCAACACAAACTGGTAACTTGTGGCAACCGATGGAGTAATTGCATAAACAAGCCAAAAAAGATTTAAAAAGGCACACAGAAAAAAACAAAAACAAAAAAAAAAACCATATCCAGATTTTGCAAAGACAAAGCTTATATTACAGTTATATACCCAACTGAAGTGATGATCCACATAGTTTGTTCCTTATAAGATTACACATTCTATACATGTTACAGCTCCAGCAAGTTGAATCTCATATGACTTCTGAATGAGTTCACTAAACCAAATCAAATACATAAAAATCTAAATCTATTTAAAAAAAAAAAAAAGCAAATTCTAAAATATAAATAGGGACACTCCAAATACCATAGGCACCACAGCGAGCTGTAGTAGTCATAGCTGCAGAAGTGCCCTGGCTCGTCCCACAGTAGTCATACGGTTGTACAATAACTGACTTTTTACATAGGGTCACCACTCACTGCCTCCTCTCAGGAGTCAAAAATTACTGCTTACAGCTACCGTTGGCTCTCATAAGGTAAGCCTACCCATGGAGGGTCAGATCAGTAGTTGAAAGCACCAGCTGATAGCTATCAGACAATGAGCTAAGCCCTGTACTGCTGGACTTGGCTCAGACAGGGAGCTTCCATTTGGCAGCAGTGGAAGTGGGGAGAGAGCCCGAAAGCCCCAGATAAGATAAAAAGTCAAACTGTTCTAAAATGGTTTGACTACTTACAGTGGGACAGGGCAAGGGGATCCCTATACTAGAACCAATACAGTGTGCTATAATGTTTATGATGCTTGGAGCGCTCCTTTAATTTGTTACCAATAAAATATAATTTTATTTAAAGATCCACAATACACATTTAAAACAATGACTGATAAAAACAAAACCATGACATTATCAGCCTCTTATGTATGTAACACAATCTTGACAAGATTCGTGATATACATTGAAATTGTTGAATTGTGTTTACAAATCGTTTTCACCAAAAATGTTTTTGCTATTTTTCCCTTCTAAAACAAACATGATCTATATCACTCAGGATTGTTTGTATGTGTAAGATATGCAACCAAATAATATATATTTTTTTTAAAAACGCCAACAAATTCAGCGAGTTGACTTCTAAATGGATATATTAAAGGTTAAATTAATAGCGGATTTGGAGTCAGGTGCACACACAGCTTTGCTATTGTAGCCTCGATTTTGCCTTTGGATTCCAACTCATTACTAATCAAAGTTTAGTGAATAAAATTCATTAGTATTCCAAACTAAACGCACCACAACTTTTACATACAATATTTTGTTTCTCGTGCTCCAAATGATGCAGTCTTTAATTTTAGATTATAATCTTGTGGGAATGTGTATCAGAGAATTCAAGGAAATCACTGTTAAAATAAATAAATAAAAATACATACATCAAACTTTTGTCGAACAGATGAGATCTTTTTCTTCCCTTTCGGTTTTCCAGGTTTGGTTGCAGAGTTTAAGGAACCAGTTCCCTCTGAAAAAAGGGGAAAAACACTGAGTTTAATAACTACAAGTTAAAGAGTATGTCATGCCAAAATAAAAAAATAAATAAAATAAAAAAAACACAGTTGACATTTACAGTCGAGATGAAGAGCAATTGTTTGCATCTTCAAGATATCATCAGTATATGTTCCACGGAAAGTACGTGCAGACACACAATCATATGACATGCATTAATTTGTGCACAAAAGAATTAGGGGTGAGAAACTGGTTACAAAATAAAAAATGAACAGCATTTTAAAAAGAAAAAAATATATATATATATATATATTAAAAAAAAAGCCAGTCATTTAGAAAAATGATTATAAGAGAGGAATTTATGAAACCGGCACGTTCCTCCATTGCTGGTGGACATGCCCAAAACTCACCCCCCTATGGGAAAAAATCACGACTCTCCTAACCAGAATACTAGACAAACCGGTCCCCCTGGACCCATGGGCTCTATTACTATCCAAACCCTTAGACATCCTCACCCGTAACGAGAACAAACTCATAGCGCGAGTGGCCTTAGCCACACGAAGAGCAATTGCGGAAAATTGGTCTACGCAACGTATACCCACTCACACCCAAATATACACGAAAATCACTGACAGCATAGATATGGACAGACTAACAGCGCAACTGCACGACACCCCAAAATCATTCCACAAAGTTTGGGACCCATGGATAGAAGGACACAGTGACCTCCCATGGTGAGCTGAGAAAACACTCAAATAACGCCATTAATGCACAACGAGAATGACGATAGTCACCCGCGCAGCCACCCCCAACCCCACCTGACCCATCTGGTACTCGGGAGGTCACCCAAGGGGGCAGCAACATCCAACCCCTCTAAGTGATCTTTCCCTTCCCCTTCAAATACCTTCTCCCCCCCCCCAACCACCCAATAACCCTTCTGACTACAGCACCAGACTCCTATGCCTAGGTCTGCTGACTTAGCCGCAACCAAAGAGTACTCAAAGGCCGCACCACCTGAGAAAACAGATCCCCCTCCCTACCAAGAGAACTACCATCGACCCTTCTGGCTCGGCAAACCTACAAACTATATCACCTCTCCTCGTAGACATACTTCCAACCCGGACCAATATCCCCTCAGATAAACAGCGACCCCCCCGACGACATAAGTCCACTACCAAACGCCATGTAGGGTCACATTCACGACCTCACACTTACTAAGGCCCCCAAAGACAGACACAGTGCAAGCCTATAAGCTGCCGAGCCAGTTTATTGAGCAAACAAAGCAATGTCATACCATGTTGTCTTCAAACACATAACCAACCTCCTTTTTCTGTTAAAATATACACACGACTTTTGTATGTGAAATGTGCTAACTGTAAAATACAGAATCTCAAACTAGTGAACGGACAACAGGTCGACCACGGTAGGAAGGGTGCGACTCAATAACCAAGCCACCATTTGCCCACCCCTCATCCCTATCCTACCTTCCGTACTTTGTACCCCCGACCCACTGCCTACCCCCCCTCCCTGATCCTGGTCATGGAGACCTATTTGTATTCTCACACCTCCTTGGCAAATGTAAGATGAGTACTGTATGCAATATTATACCCTATCCCCCTCCCTCTTCCTTTTTGTACCCCACCCCATCCTCAACACCAAACGATTACAAAAGTTGATCTAACCATAGAATCTAGTTGTATACAAACAACATACGCGGTAACCAAAAATGTAATATCTGCACTCCTGCTCAAATTGTTTGACTGTCGCTTTGAGTACATGCCTGTTATACAAAGATTGTAACACAAACTTTAACCCCACTTTTTTTTTCTGTACCCCTTCCCCCAAAAAAACAAAATCTTTACAAATAAAGAATTTTCAAAAAAAAAAAGAGAGGAATTTATAAACACTGCAGTACTGAAAAAGAATTAAATAAAAAGACAAAAAAATAAAAATAAATACAAAACATATTTTGTGATTAATCAGCATTAAACATATAATAAGGGGAAAACAAATATATTTTTCCCAGATTTCCTTGTAATAATTAATACACGTAGTGCAACAAAAGAAGCGGAGCTGAACTAGATAGCAGACAAGTCGCACATAACTTGGGCTCCTGCACTGTGAGCCCGAAAACCGCGAAAAACTAACTACTGGACCTTACTCACAATTGGAACCAGTGCACGGAGGAAGTTCCCACAGAACCGCCGGTGCCATTCGTGACACTGTGTCCGACTTGGAACCGCAGCGGCAACATGAGGCCTAGCAGAGGCACGGGGGACGGACGGCCGCCTTCCCGCCAGATGCCAACCGCACTGAGTGTACAGCACAAACTCAATCCCCCTCCCCCCCCAAGGACAGACGGGGGATATCTCAGTCCCGACAGGCCAGGGTGCCCTGACAAACTGGAGACGGGGGCTCCCAAGATGGTGGAACACCCTGACACGCAAGTGTTGGGCAAGCGACGGCGCCAAGCTACTATAGCAATAACTAAAGACTGCACAAGAGACTCTATTGATAAAATCTTCGATAGTTTTTGGGCGAAGTTAGAAGCTTACATGCAGCCAAAAACCCCACGCAGACATGCGACCGCAAGAGTCAGAGTCAAAGGCGGGAGGGGGACTGGGGACACTCACCAGGGCAACTTCACATTCCACGCTATATCATCCCTCGTCCAAGGCCCTTCTGGGCTGAGAGCAATGAACGGTATGACCCGGAAGTGCCGGCCACACTGGCGGAGAGCAGCACAACGACCACGTCAGTGCCTGACTGAAACTCGCCGCACCACCCCACTATGGGCGACTCTGGGCCATGCAGGCTTCCAGGCTCGTGGCCTCCAAGCACCAGCTCTTCCACATCTCCAGGGCAGGGGAGGATTCCCACCCCAAGAACGACAAAGCTCTACTCCGCAGCGACCGAAACCGGGTGTGAGACCCAAACATGGCAGGCACTCGATATCAAGCGGTCGAAAGACAAGCAGCAGCGGCACAGCAATCCTGGCGGACGATGGAAGAGAGGGCCATGTGGCATACAGTTTCTGCACAGACACAGACCCTCACGGACCGGGCACTAGGAGGTACACCGGCCGACCAATGACAGTTATGACCAAACCAACTCGGACTGAGAACCGACCCCTGTCATGGACCGACAAGCGGAGGGAAACACCTTATTCAGCCACACCACGGTCTACCCAGAGAAACGTACCAGAGGCATAGGCTGAGAGCTGCGGCCATTCTGGCCCCTACAGAGTCTGTATTTTATGCAGGACTGAAATTGCTGGACACTCGGAGACCCACCCGCATTTACCCACGTAACTAATAACACACTACATTGCCATACACAGTGACACGGGTCAAACTCGTTTATATTGCTTACCCTCACAGTTTTGGTCCTTTTTTCACTTTTATTTTTTAATTCAGCCCCTTTTCTGATAGCACAGCATCACCTCCTTTCACTGCCTTAGTAAAGCTCTAGGCATCGCATACCACACACCATTATAATTCAGCAGGGCAATCCATAAATCAGAGAGGGTGCTAAAATGTCCAGCTGAGGCCTTGCAGTTTAAGATATCTCCTACCCGATGTCCCAGTACCAGTCTGTGCACATCCTAGTTTAAGACACAACCCCCTACTATCTCAGCAAATGGGGTCCCACTTTTTGCATGTATAATTCAGCATGTCACTTAATCTTGCTCAATACGTAAGCAGTTTTATTTCTTGCATAGTTCTATTTTGCCTGACTTACACAAACTTTGTTTTACATTTTATAAAGCTAACTTGTGATAATATCTATCGTTCTGTCAACACATGGTTTATATCTTCTTCATATAATTAAAAATGTGCATGTAATTCCACATGCCCCACTGTTAAAAGAGCTAAAAAATTAGTGTGAGAAATGCCATTGGGGTACCTCGCGCATGTTGTTACCTTTCACTGCACTGCAAAAAAAATGGGTTTTTAAAAAAAAAAAAATCTCTTTGGGTTGAGCCTAGTAATCTTAATACAAATTGGAACCGTTCTACGTTAAAAATAAATATATTTGACAATTTTTCCATTTAACCATTTTATTGCCAAACCTGCTGGTTCTACATATTTTTAGGTCATATGAAAAACTTTCAAAGACCAGGCTAGTTCTACTGTAAAGACCCCAGAATTGTATTGTGCTAGTGTTCTCGAGTAGAGCAATACCTCCCATGTAAACATTGTCCACAAAAGCCAGAACCATACCTTGCTAGATTGGATTCTGTTCAGTTGTCCTGACAGAATCCAGGTGGCGGCGTTCTCTTAACAGTTTCAGTGATCACTGTCTAGTGTACTGCATACGCAAATAAAGGTCACTAAATCCCCTCCCAAGATTATAATCACCAGGTCTTTCAAAAAATTTAAGATTGAATCCTTTTTAAACAATCTCAAGAACATACCATGGCACAGATTAGATCTAATACCAGATCTAGACTCTGCAATTGCATTTTTTCAGTCAGAGCTCTTGCATGTTCCGAATTTACAAGCCCCTTTGCGTAAAGTGCGACTAAAAGGGACACACCTGCCCTGGGTTACAGCTGACCTCATTCAAATGTACCAGTTTAGAGATTCACTGTGGTCAAATTTCAAGCGTATTGGCTCCATGAACAATGGCAAAATGCATGCACAAAAGGCCCAATATTTCAGTGAAAATTTGAACAAGGACATATAAAACCCAAGAAACTTTTGGAAATCATAATTAGCATACAAACCCCCACAAATCCACTCCCAACTCTCCACAGACAAAATTAACACCCAAACACTTCAACACCCCCTAGATGTAGCAAATGCCTTTAATAATTATTTTGTTGGCTGTACTACCACCCTGGTTGCTATGATAACAAATGACACTCATTTTCAGACAACAAATAAAGATCAGGCCCTGCCAAATATTCCAAATCCTCATATAGAGACATTCAATTTTAGACTTTGCCTGTTAGTGTTGTTAATAAACATCTTAATTTAAAAATGAAAAACCAGTGTGGACCAGATCAAATCCCAGCAATGTTGCTGAAGCTCAGTGCGCCAGCAATTGCTAAACCTGTCATACCCAAACTTTGGAAGACTGCAAAAGTAGTACCTATCCATAAAAGTGATGACAATACTTTGGTATCTAACTATCGCCAAATATCATTGCTCCCAGTATTGTCAAAAATCTTGGAAAAATATATCGACACGCAACTATGTGAATATTATCAACAATCAAATTATCTGACCCCTGATCAATCAGGCTTTTGTCCAAATTACTCAGCCTTGACTGCCCTCTTAAAAGTTTGCAATGACATCCAAAATGGAACAAGGAGACTTAACTGGAGCTATTTTCCTTGATTTTGCCAAGGCCTTTGACACAGTAGCGACCGATAGCGCCCCCTCCATCTTCCAGTTACGTGTGGTGTTCCCCAAGGCTCAATACTCGGCCCCTTGCTATTCACATTATTTATGAAATGATCTGCCCAACTTATGGAAAGCCTCAACTGTACACATGTATGCAGACAACACTAATCTATGCTAGTAAACCCAAGCTACCGTAGCTTGAGGCTGTGCTCCAAAACCAATTCACAGAGGTAGAAAAGTGGATAGCGGATAACAAGCTCTTTCTAAACACTGACAAAACTGTTACGATGATCTTTGGAACTGTACCTAAATTACGTAAACTACAAAAACAACAATGTATCAGAACAAATTCAAATAGCACATTGACAGTCTGTTAAATATCTAGTTATGTTGCTAGACCGCAATCTATCCTTTGGCCTTCACATTGAAAAAATCTTTTTAAAACTTTACCCAAAACTAGGTGCCCTGTACAGAAACAAATCCTGCCTAAGCCCTACAGTAAGGAAACAGATAGTGCAGCAAAATTCTAATGCCCGTCATTGATTATGGGGATGTCGTTTATGCATCTGCATCGCAAACCCACCTTAATAAACTTAATACGTTATATAATTCATTCTGCCGCTTTGTACTAGAATGTAATTACTTTACCCACCACTGTGACGTGTTAAAAGAGCTAAACTGGCTGTCGCTGGAATCCCGATGCACACTTCATCTTTCCAGCCTTGTGCATAAGAGCATTTCTGGGAAGCTCCCAGCCTACCTGAGTAGCTGTTCCGACCTCCTATAACCTCCGATACAGTACTATTCTGATGTATCTCCTGTGTACAGGAGTGTCACACATGTATACCTTTACCATGGGTTTTTAGGTAATTTACAGACAAATTACAGATATTGCTTGCTTCCCCAGAGACGCTATTTGTTGAAGTTCTAAACAATGAATTAGGGGAGAGCATTCACTGAAAATAACTTTAATAGCATTTATTAAAGAGTGCAAGTACTAAGGCTATTGCCCTATCAGTAATAAATTCAATGGAAAGAAATTATATCCAGCACTCTTTATAACTTGATATCACTGTATTTTCAACTTTAGCTGCAAAGTTTTGAAGTGTCTTTTTCAAGCAATCTCTTGAAAAATACATATTTGTCTAAAGTTGCTGCTAATGTGTTGACTACAAAGAGATATCAATTAATGAGGAATGCTGGATAACATTTCTTACTATTTGTTGAAGTGACAATGTGTCCACATACTGACCAGCATTAAACTGTGATGCTACTTTAAATATCTAAGTTTGATCTCAAACCCGACACCATCTCTTCATTATTTGGTAGATTGGTTCCAGGTTGAGTGTTCACTTAGTGTGCCAATCACAGGGAGTACATACCTTGGCTCTCAGTTAAGCCATGTCATCAGACTGGTTGGCTCCCAGTGTGATAAGACAGCCTACGAGCCAATCAAGTACTATTGTTGACTCACCAGACATTAATGGCCAGGTACATGTTGATAGAGGTGTATTCTGGTCACACAGACCACCAACAGCCCAGCACTATTGTCGACAGAAGTCAGAACACTGACATGCTGTCATCACATGCAAATGTCAGGGCGAGCTCCGCAAAGCTACTGCAGGATGAGGCTGGATGTCTCATGCTTGAAACATTCAGTAACAGTACAGTGTATACAAAGAACAGCATGTAGCCAGCACTCGAACATCTACTAGCAATGTCCACTAGAAGAGGGCATCTGATTACTATGGCATGGTACCGCAGTGATGAGATGTCTTTGTCAGACACAGAGTGCTATTCCCAGACAACATCAACAAATGTATTTAGTGACAGTGAAGTGCAGAGCTCAGCAGCTGTTGAAGAGCGGATAAAGGAACATTATGAATATCAAAACAACTTTAGCTTAAATATGTGGTTTTGGTGTATAAATCTTGATCCTGCGGTTTCACTGCTCAATTTTCTGTTATTTAGGAGTTAAACCACTAAGTTTATGCATCCCTTGCCACAACTTCCCTGGCTGTGACTGGCACCTTACCTACACATTTTCTGAAATAAAATAAAGTTGTTGTTTTTTTAGCTTGCCTTATTGTGCACAAGGCAATCTTTAATAATGATTAGACCCTGGGCAAGCATTTGTTTGGGTCTGCCTCCACCACTCCCAGGCATGCAATCACGGCATCAACCCCAACGAAGTGGCAGAACTAAAGCAAAAAGAGCCCTGGTGCAAGAATTTTATTGGGCCCCCCAATTGCAAGGTTAGACAAAAGGTAGAACCCTATCTGTCGTGCAACTCCAACAATGCTTTGACAGCTGGAGCTCTACCAATTTCTCATGTTTGGAGGGTTGTATTTAGCACTGAGTCATGTTTGTGTGTTTGAATATAAGCATATGTTTGTTTGGAGTATGTTTGTACATGGTGTTGAAATTTAAATGCGAGTGTGCATTTATGTGTAGTGATGGTTTTTGAATAAAGGGGTTTGTTTATATATAATTTTGGTGTTTGTAAGTAGTGTTGACGTTTCAATGCAGTAGTGTGTGTGTTTGTATTTAATGTTGGTGCACATAATCACAGGTACACACACTGACACACATGTAGATACACAGATACACACACTGGCTACATACAGATACACAGGCACATACACTGATATACATACTGACAGACACACACGTATCATGAGCAGTTTTAAAGGCACATACACTGAGACTTACTGACAGACATACTGACACACACACAGAAATACTGACACACACACAGACAGGCAAATACACATTGGCACACAGATACATACACGATCAGGCATACTGACACACAAACACACACACGTAAAATTTACCTTTCCCACCTTACAGTTTCCTACCTTTTGCTGTAGGGTGGCTCCCATGAGGTCCAGTGTGGTGTCTGAGGCTGATGGGAGTGAGGAGCCTCCATCCTCACTGTCTCCTCCCTGACTCATCTCTTTATGGGAGGAAGTGACTCACGGCTGTCACTTCCTCCCATACTGCTGAAAAGCAAGGGCCCGGCCGTGCTGTTAAAGGGCCACAGCTCCCAAACGAGCCCCTGCTGATACAAGCCCACCGGGTGGCCCTAAGTGCATGGGCCACCCAGTGGGACTCATTAGATGATGGGCGGAAAAAAAAAAATTGTTGTTGGTAGCGGGGTCCACAGGGCAGTTACCAGTAACTGGGCCCAGAGTAGCTACCCTGTTTGCCCCGCGTTAAAGACAGCCCTGATTGCGCACTAATTTCTTATCTCCTCTGTTAATTGCGTGCTAGAACCTACAGTAGTCTGATTTTTGTGATTAAAGCTCAATTAACAGAGCAGGTGATAAAAAAAAAAAATCAAAAAAATACGTAAACACACTACACTGTACAATGTATTTGCAATTTTGTTTGAAAGCTTCAGTGTATGTAATTATAAAGCACTACCAATAATTTAAAGCTAAACTAACAGGTGTAAAGATCCTAACAGCTAAAGTACTATTCAGATTAATACAACTAGTTTTCCCATATAACAATATCTAGTTTTCCTATATCTAGTTTTCCCAGATAACAATTTTGCAACAATGACTTCTGTATAATCCAGCTAGAATATTTTACATTCTAAACTCTATCACACTTCGCATTTATCAAGGTAAAAACCAAACAAACTGATGGATAAACTTACCAGGAGATGAAATAAGAATCTGGCAACGTGTGAGTATAGCCAGCAGGAAATCATTGTGAAAGTGCACTGTAGATGAAAAACAGATTATCCATTAATTAAATTCAATTGATAACTGGGATAAAAACTAAATTATATGGTATGACCACCAAGTATTAATTTCAGAAGGGATAGGACTCAATATACATTTCTGGAAAGGCAGCAATAATTATTTTTCCGCAAGAGCCTTACCACTTGTGAGTGGTATATGAAATTTTCACAGTTTTCATGACGCTTTTAAAAGCAGTCGCTCATTTGGAACATGCAATCCTAGTTGCACATGCTCTTTAAATTTATAAAACATATCTCAGTAAATTAAGTGTATACCTGTGTAGGTGTTTGACTACTATGCCGCTGTTCACAGTTCATTACTCAAATTAATGTTCAGATGCTGGTTTCTGGACTTTTTAACTTCTTTTGAACCACATTCTGGTTTTTAAAGGGACACTAACACTTCATCTCACTTAAGTGGTTATAGTGCCTGGAGTCTGCTGCCACCATTCTTCCATTCAGCATTAAACCATTTTTAGTGTTTAAATGCTAAACTTTATTTTGTAGCCGTCCATCCACTGTGCTGCTTGGGGTAATGATGAAGTATTAGACGGAGCATAAATGGGTGGTTGTGACCAGCTGAGAGTGTAAGCAAAGCACATTCCGCCTATCCCAGTGATCATTGCTAATATAAATTTGTATGGCTAAAAGGAGTGCATAACTCTGTCTTAGCCATACCTCCAGTTGTGGCCAGGCTGTGGATGGCCAATGACCCTTATTTAGCATTAAACTACTTGAAATGTTTTAACACTGAATGGAGGGACAGTGTCAGAAAACTCCTGGCACAATAAAAAATTAATTGACATGAAAAGGTTATAGTGTTTACTTCGACACTAAGCAGCATAACTGGTCCAAAACTTTGGAACTCTGGTCCCTTAAGGAATTGTGCCAGAAGAGAAAATGACCTGCTTACTTAGTAGGTGTAGCACAATACAGCTCTGCTTTCATTAAAGGACCACTATAGGCACCAAGACCACTTCAGCTTCATGAAGTGGTCTGGGTGCCAGGTCCAGCTAGGGTTAACCCTTTTTTCTATAAACATAGCAGTTTCAGAGAAACTGCTATGTTTATATTAGGGTCAATCCAGCCTCTAGTTGCTGTCTCTTGACAGCCACTAGAGGCGCTTGCGTGCTTCTCACTGTGAAAATCACAGTGAGAAGACGCCAGCGTCCATAGGAAAGTATTGTGAATGCTTTCCTATGGACTGGCGCATTCAGCCGAAGAAGAGGACAGGAGGCGAAGAGGAGGAGGAGAGCTCCCCGCCCGGCGCTGGAGAAAGAGGTAAGTTTAACCCCTTCCTCTCCATCCAGCCTGGCGGGAGGGGGTCCCTGAGGGTGGGGGCACCCTCAGGGCACTATAGTGCCAGGAAAACGAGTATGCTTTCCTGGCACTGTAGTGGTCCTTTAAAATAGAAAATAAAGACAAGGACAGTAAAAGAGCAGTTGGTTAGGATGGCAAAGACTGTCAATAAGGGGTTAAAAAAAATGTTTTCTTCATTACTACCATTGTCTTGAGTGAGAAGCCGTCTGGCTTCAACATCAAACTCCTCTTTGCTGATCTTCTGCTTAAACCAAAGTTTCAGGTTTGCCCAGTATCTGAAAGAAGAAAAAACAAATCTATATATAATTTCCACTGACAGAAAGAAAAATTATTTTTTAAGTTATCTAATAAAAATATACTTTTAAAAGGAACATTAATTCTAAACATGTCAGTGCTATACTCTCTTCTTTCTGCGATGTCATGAGTAGGCTTGGCCTTCTCCATCATTGATCCAATCCAATGCTCCTCATAGACGAACACTAAGGACCTGATGTGCATGCGCATGGCATTAAATCAATGCTTTACTATGGTGGCTTCTGTGTCATGTTTTACTCTGTCAGTGCCGCAGAAGCCATTATATTCAGGGATATCATTTTTCTTTTTGTTAACCACATTTTTTTATTGAGTGGTAAGTCTACATAACAAAGTAGTAGTAGAGTACAGAGAGTATAGATGCTGAATAAACCGGCAAGTTTACCACTCACTTTTTGTTTTACAACATTGAACCTAACATCATATGAGAGAAAAGTATAGGCTGACACAACAGTAAAAGAAACATTTGACGGTGAAGAAAAAAAAAACACAGTGATAACACTGTTAAGGAAATAAAATAAAGATTAAAAGAAATAACATGCTAAACCAGGCTAGAAACACAGACATTTTGATATGCAAGACAAGCAAATATGAGCATAGATATATAGCATACCATAGAGTAAAGGGACAAACCCATTTTCCTGGCACTAGAGAATCCTACAGTACCCCCCCTCCTCTCTCCTGCCCCCCATCCCATGTTGCTGAAGGGGTTAAAACCCCTTGAGACTCTTACCTGAATCCAGCGCCTACGCCCCTTGGCGCTGGGTCAGGTTCCACGCAGGCTCCTCCCCCGCTGACGTCCGACAGCGGGGGAGACCTAATGCACATTATTCAATGCTTTCCTATGGGGATTCTGGGGACGCTGGAGGTCCGTCCAGCGTTGTTTAAGCGATCAAAAAGTAGTTTAAGAATCCGGAAGTCCCTCTAGTGGTTGTCTGATAGACAGCCACTAAAGGAGGACTTAACCCTACAAGGTAAGTATTGCAGTTTATAAAAACTGCAATAATTACACTTGCAGGGTTAAAGGTGATGGGAGTTCCTCAAAGCTTTCCTGTCAGTCTGGGGAGAGATACCTGGGGATCCCCCCCCTTTTTTTTAAATCCTGGAGGCTGTATAGGCAGCATTGCAAGCTGAAACATAGCCCATACATATTGCTTGCTTTATGACCACTCCTGAAAGCATAAGTAGTCATCTAGGTTGTTGTAACCCTAGAACTGCATTTGGGGGATACTGTTGTGGAAATAAGGTCTACACATATTTCCTAGTTAGTGAAAAATGTCTATTTACTCATTTCACGATATATATATATATATAAAGCTAAGCACACACACGTTATAATTAAGATGGCTGCTGGAAGCTTCTAGCTCCTTCCCCCTCCCCCCTCCCTTTTCCCTTCCTAACATCGACTAACTACCTCGTGCACCAAGATGGCGCCGGGAAACCGTGGGAGACCCTCATGGCCCCGGTGACATCACCTACAGTAGGCAGAGCATTGAAGCAACCACTTAACACCTAACCAATAACTGATGTATTATTCCATGTTATCTCTGACAATGCTTATGATGTAATTTTGCTTTAAAAGGGACTTGCCGTCCCCTCTGAATAAACTTTCCTCAAGTTATTCAACAACCTAGAACCTGTGTCTGGTGTGAATTACTTCAGGGAGCGTGCACGCATTGTTTCATTGATTTGGCCAGGGGCAGATACACAAAGAAATAATCAATACTTTAATTGATTTTTCCACTTCAATTGGCGCCCAACGTGGGGCCCACCGGAGAGCCGGTTCGGAGGGCCGGAACCAACGGACCGGAGCGGACCTCCGGAAAGTGGGACAAGCGGAGCCTGATCACCTCCATAATACAGCTGTTGCCTGTGTTATTCTCCTGTTTTGTGCCGGTCTGTCTCCGAGTCCACTTCCGGCTCCCAGAAGGCTACTAGAGACAGGTAATTAACTCATCCGGTGCGCCCTCTTTAAGTGAATCTGTCGATTGTCTATCTGCCTCCTGTATTCATTTATGTGTGTGTGTTTCTTATACCTTTAAAATATGTTTGCTTGACTGCCTAGCGGGCAGGGAACGCATTTTATATGTTTGCTTGACTGCCTAGCGGGCAGGGAACGCATTTTATATGTTTGCTTGACTGCCTAGCGGGCAGGGAACGCATTTTATATGTTTGCTTGACTGCCTAGCGGGCAGGGAACGCATTTCAGCCGGTGGGGCTGGGTTTTTATGTTAGCTTGACTGCCTAGCGGGCAGGGAACGCATTTCAGCCGGTGGGGCTGGGTTTTTATGTTAGCTTGACTGCCTAGCGGGCAGGGAACGCATTGCAGCCGGTGGGGCTGGGATTTTTGTTTGATTATTGCAGTATTTCCTTTGGTACCAGTGTTTTGCCGGGACCAGCCTGGTGGGTGAAGGCTGGGGATTGTTATATCCTGAATATCTGACACCAGTGGTGTTAATATGTACATGGCTATTTTGCTCTCTATCATTCTGTGGTTTCTGTTTAATTGTTGTTACAGTGTGGGTACCCTTGGTGTGTGTGTGTGTGTGTAGTGTGTTGTTAGTTCTGGATTCCGGAGTTTACGCTCATTTGTATGTTTGTGATTTTTGCAAATGTCTTCTCATTAGCGCAGCCACGTTCATTTTCTCCTTTGTTCTTTATCTCTCCTGTACCTGTTGCCCAGAGCTGTGTTAGTCACCCACGCTCATTCGCTCCCGTCCGTGACCACCACCCCGGGTGGGCGGATCCCCGTGACTGGTCTACGTTTGGGGAAGACGCACGGGGCTCAAGTTCTCGTGGCAGTCGAGCACTGTAGACATTCCTTTTCCCTCGTACCTTCTCTAATTCTTTGTCTTTCACGTGTGGCACGCTTTGGTTACTCAAAATGGGACAGGAACACACTAGACCTGCTAAAGGCTTGCTGGCCTGTGATATTGTGAAAGAAAGGGCAGGGGAAGATGCGATGTTGAAACTTAAAAAGATTGCTACGGTGTAGCAAGATGTTGCCCAGTGGAAGATTGCAGCCTGAGTTTTGGAGAAAACTACTCAGACAAGGAAGGGTTGTTGTTGGATAATGGACTCACGAAGGTTGCAGAGGCTTGGTATCGGGTAGCTAGAGGTTTGAAACGGGAAGGATGGGTCGAGGAAGAACTGGAGTTTGAGGGGCAAATTGTGTATGTTTATCACAGGAGTGTTCACAATGATGATGTTGTTTCTATTGTTCCACGACCACCGCCCTATGATGGCGCCCGGAGCGCAACACTTAATTCCCGCCCTGCTTCTCCCGTCACAGCACAGACCCCACCCTCTGGGGGTGTGCCTTCAGCTCCCACTCTCCTGTGCCCCGTACTCGGTGCGGATGGTGCTTACTATTATCCAGTGCCACTTCACTCGTTCCCACCTACTCCCATGCCTCAACCCTCCTATGACCCAACCCCCTCCATCAGCCATCCTTCCGTCATGTCTGCTGAAGCCCCCCCGCCTCCATGTCCTTCGCTACCTCTCCCAGTGCCCGTCCCCACTCCGAACCCTGCCATGGCTTCCCCCACCTCACCCATTGAAGTCCCACCTTCCTCTTCCAATCCCTCCAACCCCTTCCCCGGAAACCCTTGACGCATCCATGACTAATGACCTGTCTACCTCGATATCCGCCCTTTTCACTGCTGTCACTTCCCTGGTTAACTCCGCGATCCCTGCACTGCCTCCCACTGATATACCTCCTCCTCCTCCTCCCCCCGAGCCTTCGACCCCTCCCTTGTCTCCCGCTAACCTCCCCGAGCCTTCCGATCCAATCTCTGCTCTTGCTCATGTCCTAAACACCCACCTCTCACGCCCAGCCCCGCCGGCCCCCATGATGGCCCCTTCCACGGCTTTAGTTCCCGTGTCCCTTCCGCCAGCACTAGTTACCCAATCATGGTGGTTGGGTCCGAGGTGTCTGCGACTTCGGACCAGCCCTATGTGATGGGTGCCTCCCCCCAAGCCTCGGGCTTCCACCCAACTACCTCACCTATTACCGCCCTCCCAGTTGCCCCCGCTACAGCTACCCCTGAGGCTACTCTTCACCGTGGTCCGGTGGTGCCCGAGGAGGTCGTTGTGGTGGACCAGAGCTCACCCCACCTGGGGGGGAACGGGCTTCCCCAACGACACTCCGTTCCCCAAGGGTATACTCAGATTAGTCATGGTGCGGATGGTGCACCACCTATGTATGTTACTTTTAACCCTTCCCAAGCTGCTACCCTTGTGACCTCACTCCCTGATCCAGAGAAACACCCCATGCCCTTTTTCCGCAGGATGGCTCAGATCCGTAAGACATATTCCGCTGCTTGGCGGGATCTTATTAGTTTATGTGAAATTAAGGCTGGAGATGCATACTGGCCAATCATGGAACGGAGCTTTAATGACGCTTCACTTACTTCTGATACTGATTTTCGTTCTGGAGAAATTTTCTGTGAACAACTTCGCGCCTGGGCGCAGGATAAACTAGCTGACCAGGCTACTTGCATTAATGACATAATACAGGACAAACTTGAGACTGTTGAAAAGTACCACTCTAGGTTGACTCAGACTTTCTCGGACTTAGGGTTCAGCACTTATAACAAGGCACACACCCAGATGCTATCTGCAGCTTTTGTGGCAGGACTGAGAGAACACATTCGTAAGGGGTTGATTTTAGCTCGCCCTGAGTATAGAATTATTCCACTAGACACCCTTTTGTTGGTAGCCAAGGGCTTAGAATCTGTTTTACAACCCACACAGCATAGGGCTAGTCCGCTGATGTACACCACCTCCACACCAATTGCTGGTTCTAACCAAGTTCCTCAGATGTTCCCTCAACAGTACACTCAATCACCCCAGACACTGCCTGCACCAATCCCCTTCCCCCGGGACCGGACTATCACGACAATCCGGACCTGTTTTAATTGTAATCAGCCAGGCCACTTTAGAAGAGATTGCCCACAGCCTAGAGTGTTCCGCCAGCAAACTCCCCGGTACCAAAGTCCCCATGTCACTGGATATAACTTCCCCTCCCCTGGTTACCTCCCCGCCCTTCCCCATTCGCAATTGCCTCAGCTTCCCCCACCACCACCTCCTCCTCCTCCTCCTGAATACACTCAAGCCCGGCTCCCTGCATCAGAAGCTCGTGCATATACTTCACCCTCCGCTGAAGGGTATGACAATGATGATTTCCAAGACGGCCAACCCCGTCATACCCTCCGCCCATCCCGTCCCCCCATGCATTCTGCTAACCCTCCTTCCACTTCCCGCCGGTACCAGGGACCAGACCAGGCCCATTTGGATTTATTGCAATAGGTAACCGGCAAGCCTGTGTCAGCAACCCCTGCCATGGCAGTGTCTGCGGGGGATGGGGGAGGCCCTTTAGCTACTGTAGTTCTCCCTGTGGAGGGCCACCCCACCACTTTCTTAGTTGACACAGGTGCAGCCCGTAGTGTCCTTAGGGAACAAGACCTGCCAGACCCTTCCTTCTTATCTGACACTGATGTTTCCTGTGTTGGGGTGGATGGTACACCACGCAGCAACCCCCTTACCAAGCTCCTACACGTAGGTTCACACATCCTCTCCCGATTTGTTGTTTCCTCTACCTGCCCCATTAACCTCCTAGGTGCCGATGTTCTCTCTCGGCTCCAGGCCTCCATTACCTTCACTGCAGACGGGCAGATTGAATTGACAACCCCCCTATCACAAAAGGATACCTCTGTCCTCTGTTCACTCCCCATTTTGTTAAACCTAACTGACAATACAGGGGATGCACGGGTCCCACAAACCCCCAGTGCTCTGGATCGTATCCCTCAAGAACTTTGGTCCACTGGCCCGGATGATATTGGGCGCTTACATGTGCCCCCAGTCTTAGTCCAGCTCCTGCCTGGGGCACTGCCTCCTCGCAGGCCACAGTACCCTCTGAAGCCTGCACAAGCTGAAGCCATTACCAAACAAGTTGAAAGTCTCCTTGCCAAAGGTGCCCTCATCAAGTGTACATCTCCATGCAACACTCCACTTTTTCCTGTTAAAAAGAGAACTGTTAAAGGTCAGCCTGACCAGTACCGCATGGTGCAGGATCTCCGTGCTGTGAATGAAGTAACCATAAAAGACACCGCAATTGTTCCTAACCCCCACACCCTCTTATCCCAAGTCCCATCAACTTCAACAATATTCACCGTGGTGGATCTAGCTAATGCCTTCTTCAGTGTCCCCCTTGACCCTTCCTGTCGTTTTCTCTTTGCCTTCACCCATGAAGGACAGCAATACACCTGGACTGTTATGCCTCAGGGGGCTCAGAATTCCCCCACACAGTTTGCTCACGCCATGTCCCTGGTGCTGGATCCTTGGCAGAAGTCTCATTTGGATGTCGTCCTGCTTCAATATGTTGATGATCTCCTTCTCTGTGCTCCTGATTTGCTCATTGCGGAGCTTGATTCAGAAGATCTCCTATGTTTCCTAGCTGCAGCTGGTTGCAAAGCCTCAAAATCCAAGTTACAATGGTGCCGGCCCTCTGTGGTCTTCTTGGGACATTGCCTTTCCCATGGCACCAAACATTTAACCTCTCAACGTGTGCAAGCCATTCTGCACCTTCCGTTACCTGCAACTCACCAGACTCTCCATGCTTTTCTGGGTCTTATCACGTACTGCAGGTCCTGGATACCTGAAGCATCAAAGCTCATGCAGCCACTCTATGATGCCCTCAGGAGTGAGCCCTTTCATCTCACAGAAGAAACTATCATCTGTTTCCACACTCTGAAAAGAGCTATTGCTTCTGCACCTGCCTTGGGCCTACCCAACTACCAACTTCCCTTCAATCTGTCTCTGAAAAATCAGGACATGCTTCCGGAGTCCTTACCCAGAAACATGGATCAAGACAACGCCCTATTGGCTATTTTTCCTGCATGCTTGACCCTGTTGCAAGGGGTAGCCCCTCTTGCCTCCGAGCGGTGTTTGCCGCCAGCGCTCTCCTGGACAAGACCAATGACTTTGTTCTTGGCCATCACCTCACAGTGTTGGCCCCTCACGACATTACTGCAATCCTGCAGCAAGTTCGACCTAAACACCTTTCTTCCCAACGTCACCTTCGCCTACAGACCTCCTTACTCCTACCTGATAATGTGAAACTCCAGAGATGCCTTTCCCTGAACCCAGCCACTCTTCTGCCACTTCCCAAGGGGGGAATTGTGCATCACTGGTACAGCCTGGATATCAATCCAGAGGTTCGAGCAGATTTACAGTTGCCTGTTTTCACACCCCCACATGATGAACAATCAGAGGCCCTACTCCACTGTGTCTTGTGGTTTAGGGACGTACCAAGCCCTGATGTGGACTATGAGGAAAAACTATTTCAGCTCAAAGAAATTCAAATTACCCTGACTGACTTATTTTGGGACTCCACAGGTACCATGCTCATTTTGGTTCACCTTCCAGATAATGTAGCACACCTCTACCACCATTGGGAAACAGCTATCCCACACATATCTCTCACCAGATCCCACGACACCTCATGGGAGAACCTAGGCCCGATGGCCAGAACCTGGAACCAAATGACTTCTACGGGGATAAATAAAAAGACCATTAACTACTGCACAACAGGATACTCCAGGTACCACACAGAGGCCTGTGAGGACCCACTCACCATAGACTGCAACCTCATTGATATCCCCCATGACTGTTTTGAACAAATGAAAATGGAAACTACACACCTACCAACTGTTTATGAAGCTGCATTACTCAACCCGGATCAAACACTATTTGTGGATGGCTCAAGGTTTGCTGATGAACAAGGACAATATCACACTGGATATGCAGTCACCACAGGATGTCAAGTATTACAAGCAGCTGCCCTACAACCAACTAAGTCTGCCCAAGAGGCCGAGTTAACAGCCTTGACTGTGGCCTGCAAACTGTCCGAAGGTCTACGTGTCAACATTTATACGGACTCAAGATATGCCCTGGGAGTGGCACACGATTTTGGCTTAATTTGGAAGACCAGAGGATTTCTTACAGCCACCGGTACCCCAGTAAAACATGGGGCAGCCATTGCAGAACTGATAGATGCATTGGAACTTCCAGCAGAAGTGGCAGTACTGAAAGTAAAAGCTCATGGAAGATTAGACACAGAAGAAGCACGTGGCAACAACTTAGCTGATCAGGCAGCCAAAGAGGCAGCACGACAAGGATGGGAAGTGGACAGAAGAGTGGCCACAGATACATTACCCATTTACACTATGCAGACATTGCCTACAGATCTCAGGCTGCTGAAGGAACAACAAGCTGCTGCCACTCCTCAGGAGAAACAAAGTTGGAAGAACAAAGGAGCGATACTCCGTGATGATGTTTACACCATTAATCTCAAGTTTTGCCTACCTAGAAGTATGTACCCAGCGGTGGTCCAATGGGCCCATGGGCCAGCCCACCTGTCAAAGCTCCTGATGAACTCACTGATTGACAAGTATTTTGAAGCACCAGGCATCACTACCTTAACACAGAATTACTGTAAATCTTGTACTATATGTGCTAAATGCAATCCTGGAAAAGTCATAAAGACTGCACCTAATCATCTAGCCAAGCCACAATACCCCTTCCAGAGGATTCAGATTGACCACATTCAGATGCCGAAGAGCGGACGTTATGAATATGCATTGGTTATAGTGGACATGTTTTCAGGATGGCCAGAGGCCTTCCCAGTGACTAATCTCACCGCGAGGACTACAGTCAAGTACCTTTTGACAGAAATTGTTTGCCGCTACGGGGTTCCAGAAGTAATTGAAAGTGACCAAGGGACCTCCTTCACTGCCTCGCTAACACGGGAAGTCTGGTCAGCACTGGGGGTGACCCCTGCATTCCACACACCATATCACCCACAGAGTAGTGGTAAGGTAGAGCGCATGAATGGCACTTTGAAAGCCAGAATGCTTAAAATGTCACAAGAAACTAACATGCCCTGGCCCGAGAGTCTCCCACTAGCGTTATTCAGTGTAAGGTACACTCCCAGAGGAAATATATAGTTTGTCACCTTATGAGATTTTGTTTGGTACAGCACCCAGGCTAGGTTGCTACTTTCCTCAACAGCTTCAGATTCAGTCAGACGCTATGGTAGACTATGTGACTGCCCTCTCACATGCCTTGACCAAGATACATGCCCAAGTGTTTTCTTCTATTCCAGATCCTGAGTCGAATACAGGTACACACAAGCTGCTTCCGGGTGACTGGGTTATGGTTAAGAAGTTTCTCAGAAAACACACCCTAGAACCGAGATTTGATGGTCCTCATCAAGTGCTCCTGATTACAGCAACGTCAGTTAAACTAGCTGGAAAAAGTTCCTGGATACACGCTTCACATTGCAAAAAAGTGCCTGCTCCAGAAGAGGCTGATCCTGTTGAAATATGAATTTATTATGTGTCTTGTGTTTTCTTATGTTGTTGCACTTTGTCTGGGCCCAACAAGTGGCCATAACCAAAGATAATCACGTTTATACTTTCTGGTACAATTCTTCTGACACTGATGTAGCCACATACACCTTTGATTACTGTGACATAGTTACTTGTACATTCCCACAGACACAACACGCAGCCATATACAAAGACATACCTAACAAAAAGGACCCATATATTTGTGTGACTGGGGGAGCTTGGGGACACCATTGTAGTTCATGGAAAGCTGCTGGGTGGAATACAGGTAGACCATGGGGCTACAGACCTCAGGTTGCACTGGACAGACTTGACAAAGACGGGAAGCCCCTGCTTTCTAGAATGACTCTGAGTAAACCCACAGGGTCAACTCCCATTAAACTTACCCTGAATATAGAACACCCTAGCCCAAGGGACGCGGGGGAATATGTGATGGGGATGTACTGGAAGGGAGGTGGCTCACATAATGCACTGGGGACATTTTACCTACAAGACATGCTCACCTCCCCAGACTGGGTAGGGACCACTCACATGATCGTTAACCCATTAAAACCACATATTAAGACCCTACATGACATGGTAGCTATAGCCAACCCCACCTTTGAAGACACTATGGCAGTGGAGACTGGTTTTTCAGACACTAATTTGTGGCTAGAATGGATGAGGTATAATGCCAACTCACACAATAAGACCAATTGTTACGTGTGTGGAGGAGCCAGGCCCCATCTGGGCACAGTTCCTCTGAATTTACCTCCTGAAGTAGAGTCATGTGTTCTGAGTCTTTATACACAGTCCATCACCAACTCCTCAACATGTGAATCATGGAAGAGAATTTACCCGATCACTCATGGACATGTAAAACCACCTGATGGAGTCACCATCTACCCAGGTAATTACACATGTTACACAATATCTAAGAACACCGGTTTGTATCTGGGCAAATTCCCATCAGGATACTGCTCAACCTACCATAATCCACCCATGTCACTGCTAATGAATCACACAAAGACAATCGGTGATATCTACTGGTTATGTGGTGATAAACAATTGAGGTCCCAATTAACTGGGCAATGGTGGGGGGAGTGTGCCCTAACTAAAGTCATAATGCCTATCCATATCATTCCAGATGGTAACCATAACACGTTAAACCTCACACATGTACACTCTAGAACCAAACGAGAGACTCCTATCCGAGGGAGCTTCGACCCCCATGTGTATATTGATGCCATAGGTGTGCCAAGGGGGGTGCCTAACGAATTCAAAGCAAGAGATGAAGTGGCTGCAGGATTTGAATCCCTAATTCCAATGATAACTGCTAACAAAAATGTTAATTGGATTAACTACATTTACTATAATCAACAGCGCTTTGTCAACTACACTAGGGATGCCCTACAGGGCCTGGCAGAGCAGTTACAAGCCACTACCCAGATGACATTCCAGAACAGAATGGCCCTAGATATGATATTAGCTGAGAAAGGGGGTGTATGTAAAATCCTCCCTGAGACCATGACATGCTGCACATACATTCCAGACAACACTGGACCCAATGGTAAGGTGACTATGGCCATAGAAAAGCTAGATAGTCGTGCAGACGAGCTAAAGAAAAATTCAGGAGTCACTGACACTTGGGACAGATGGTTTGGATGGATGAATGGTTGGCAAAGGACCCTCTTCCAGGTGGGGACAGCTGTTCTCATAATGATCATCATTTTCTTATTTCTGACCTGTTGCATATTCCCCTGCATACAGAAGTACTTACAGAAAGCGGTAGACAAGACTATAGATGACGTGACCCCTACTTTCATACACCAAGACATCACAGATCTCGAAGATGATACTCCACATACACCCCTTCAATCACATTAGTTCAAACAAACAACTGCTTTCCTGTAGGGACAGTATAGGGAAAGCGTCTGTCTTGGCAGGCGAGTCTCACGTGTGGAGATGTGGTGGACTAGCCACCGCGGGTTACCCACGGAGTGAAGTGTTCGATGCTTGTTAAGACAGATGAGCTGCAGGCAGCTAGGGACATATTAGGGACAGTAGCAGTTGTTATGGTAAATAGCCATTTTAGGGGGGACTGTTGTGGAAATAAGGTCTACACATATTTCCTAGTTAGTGAAAAATGTCTATTTACTCATTTCACGATATATATATATATATATATAAAGCTAAGCACACACGTTATAATTAAGATGGCTGCTGGAAGCTTCTAGCTCCTTCCCCCTCCCCCCTCCCTTTTCCCTTCCTAACATCGACTAACTACCTCGTGCACCAAGATGGCGCTGGGAAACCGTGGGAGACCCTCATGGCCCCGGTGACATCACCTACAGTAGGCAGAGCATTGAAGCAACCACTTAACACCTAACCAATAATTGATGTATTATTCCATGTTATCTCTGACAATGCTTATGATGTAATTTTGCTTTAAAAGGGACTTGCCGTCCCCTCTGAATAAACTTTCCTCAAGTTATTCAACAACCTAGAACCTGTGTCTGGTGTGAATTACTTCAGGGAGCGTGCACGCATTGTTTCATTGATTTGGCCAGGGGCAGATACACAAAGAAATAATCAATACTTTAATTGATTTTTCCACTTCAGATACCCACTGTAAATATTATTGTGATTGGTCGTGTGGATTTGTTGCCATGCCCATTACATTAAGGTCTCTTCTGTCATTCCTTTTAGAACCTCGTTTCTTTATCTATTATTTTATCTGCAGATTTACAAAAGAATAATAATAAAAAAAATTATATATATATCTTTATGAAATCATTACTGTTGCTAAATCAATTACAAGTGCCACTATACAGAAGGTAAAATGCCAATTGCGAACAACAGTACCCATGATTACTCGCATACAGTCTTTCACCCACTGCCAAGGCAAAATTTCCTGTTCTGTATGGCATAGGAGGAGGAGAAAGACGGCAGAGCTGTTGGGCACCATGGGACTTCTTGAGGGTTAACTGAAGTTAAAGGGACACTGTAGTCACTATCAGCATTTCATCTTTTTGAATTGGTTATAGTGCCTGTAGTGCCCTGACACTGTCCCTCCATTCAGTGTTACACCATGTTCGTGCAGTATGCCACAAAATAAGAGTCCCTGGCCACCCACAGTCCGACCCCTTCAGTATGTGTAGCTAAGGCAGAGATTACACACTTCCTTGTTGTCATACCGTTAGTTGGAACTCTGACAGGCTAAAAGCAGTCAGCTGACACTCTCAGCCAATCACAGCTGCCTATTGCTGCTCAGGCTAATACTTCCTTATTAGCCAAAGCAGCACAGAGGGGATGGATTGCCCGGGACTCTTGTTTAGCATTAAAACATTAAAAGTTTTAAAACTGTTTAATGCGGAAAGAAATGATGGTGCCAGAGGACTCCATACACTATAACCAGTTTAATGAGATGAAGCAGATACAGTGCCTACGGTGGTCCTTTAAGTCAGCACCCAGTGACTCCCAGAGATAGGCAACCTTGAGCACTCCAGATGTTGTGCACTCCATCTCCCTGAAATGCTCTTACAGAAATAATGTCAGCAAAGCTTGAAGGGAGATGCAGTCCACAACATCTGGAGTGCCCAACCATAACAACTTCAGTGGGATGAAATGGTTATAGTTACTGGAAGAAACCTCAATGCCAATTTTTATTGGTAAATCATATTTTACAAAACTAACATCATGTGGCAGCCAATAAAACAAGTGTATTGCAGTGCAGCACTTTCCAACGCTGCTTTATATGCTGGTGCTATAGTGATAAAATAATATTGGTAAAAAACTGTGAGGAGACGAATGCATTCAAATTAATGAACTTTTCAATGAGAGGACATGCATTAAAAATCCCTTAAAGGGCCCTATTTTGAAATAAAGTCCCCCTATGATCCTGTTCCTTTATTTTTGATGGGAGGCAGCTGCAGCTGGCTGGATACGGGTTAGCTGTATAATCCAGGCCGGGGATCTGTAGGCCTCAGGTAAACACAGTGGGAAATCTACATAAACAATCACACTCACTGTTTCACGTTTTCTCCCAAAGCCTCGCTCAGGCTCTTCTTAGCTGCTTCCAGTTCACTCACGAAAGTCGCCATTACCGGCAATTATCAAGTAGGGAGATAAAAAGGCGATGCGGTAACTACTCTGCTCGACCAAACTGCTCAGGCCGACATCTGTGCAATCTGTAAACCATGAAATCTACTGCTGGCACACCGCCCGCGGCAAAGTACGGTACAATACTACTGCGGGTGGGAACAGCAAACACAAAGTGGTGTTTGCGGGTTTTTGTTTTTTTTAAATCGAAACTTTATTTAGTCCATAAACACGAGCAAAGAAACAGGAAGTAATTTTTCTTAGATGCAGCTCCTTGTTTATGTGTATTTGTTAGTGTTTCATGAAATTATTGTTTTTTTTTAATGTTTATTAACATTTATTTTGTTTTAAAACAAACTTTAAACATAGTTGCCAATGTATAAAAATAAATAAAATCCAGGGACACGTTCTAACAAGCATTCACACAGAGATCTACACAGACATGCTCACACAGCTACACTCAAAGCATACAAAATAACACACACACACACACAAATAAATAAGAAAATACATATTTCTTAGCCACTTTTCTGGGGCAGTTATACTGCAAGCAGAACCCTGAAATGCGAGACTTATTCCAGGACAAATTTTTACAGGGGGAAAAAAACCATAACTGGCAGGACAGTTGGCAACTATGAAAATATATTATTTTCACTTGCATGCATACAAACAATTATCTTTGAATGGATGTGCAATAGTGATGCCCCGAACGGTTCACTGCGGACGGCGAACATATGACCCTGTACCTCACAGTCAGCAGACACATTCCAGCCAATCAGCAGCAGACCCTCCCTCCCACCTCCTGGACAGCTCACTAAGAATGCAGCTTCACAATGAATGTAAAATGGATGCTGTCCAGGAGGAGGGAGGGTCTGCTGCTGAGTGGCTGGAATGTGTCTGCTGACTTTGAGGTACAGGGTCATATGTTCGCCGTCCGTGGTTTTTCCACTTCCAATAAACCACAGCAGGGTTGGCGCTAGGCTAGTGCCGGCCCTGCATGGGCCGACAGGGGAAATCCTGTGATCTCCCCAGCCGGCCTCGGCCGATGGCCATCGCGGCCCACCGGGCATTTGCCCGGTATTCCCGATGGCCATTCCGGCCCTGATTGGGTCCATATATAAAGAAGGACTCAGGGGGGAAGGTTATATGCTGCTTTTGGCCTTATTGAAGGATTCTTTTATATTTGTATTTTGTTTTATAATTGGGCCCTTGAGGAAGTCTTTTGCAAGACGAAAAGCATAGGAACTTGTTTGTATTTTATTTCACTTTTTATACTACGATAATAAAGCAGATTATACTTTATTCAGTTTCCTGATTCCAACCTTCCATCTTGTGGTGACAACATCAAAAGTGGAGAGGGAGTCTTGGGTACACCCCCCAATCACCTAAGGGCAGGCACCTTAAGGCAGTCTCACATATCTCCATCTTGTGAGTGCAATTTAATCTGTTGCATTACCACTACATTTTTGCTGTATTACACTATTGTATTATTCTGTTTTATTTCTGTAAATAGTAAGCTATACCCTCTATTTTCTATCTGGCGATAATTGATGTATGGAATACAGTCTGGAATATCCTGAGAGGAAGCTAATATATTAATTTATGATAAGTAAATATTTTGACTTACACACTATTGTATATTTGTGTAGGTCTATATTGTTCCTTTTTCTATATACTATCCATTTTTATTCAATAACCTTTGGTACAAGTGTGGCTAAAAATATTTGCCAGTATGTTTTGACAATGTAAATTTTAATAATATAGCTTAATATTTTTTGTGACTTTAGCACATATTTTACACTTTATCATCACCTGGAGTTAGTCAATTTATACGTTATTTTTTTAAACCTATTTAAGGGTGTCTGTATTTTTGTTTATTTCTAATCTTGATCCTGAAGAAAGTCCCGGATGGGGACTGAAACGTTGATCTTATTTATGGATATTGTGTTGTCCTAATAAAGGGTTTTGGATTTTTCCTTCAAGACTGTTAGTGCAGCCAAGAATTTTGTATATGTGTGTGTGCGTGTACAAGTGTAAATAGGCTGCCCGGGCCCCTTACAGCTGATTTCTTAAAAGTAGAACGGTGGCAAAATGCTCATTTGAGAGTTCAGGCACTGATGCTGGACAAAGGCATTTTAAATCATCCCAAAGGTGTTCTACAACTGGAGTTTCTTTACAAAAGATTGGGAAACCATATTTTCATAGACCTTGCTATATGCACAGGGACAAAGTCATGCTTGAAGAAGAACGGGCCTTGCCACAAAGTCATCCAATAGTCAAAAATGTGTTTTTATCCTGTAGCATTAACAATACCCTTCACTGGAAACCAGCCTCAGATCAGTACTGCATTTAAAGGAACTCTATAGCTTCAGGAATACAAATGTGTATTTCTGACCCTATAGTCTTAAAACACTATTTAGGTGGTCAGCCACCCCTAGCACCCCTTAAAAAGGTAATAAACCTATCTTTATTCTAGGGCCGAGTGGGTCAGCTCACACTGGCACGTCACTGATCCGTCTCCTTGGCTGACATCATCAGAATTGATTATCTCAGTCAATCCAATAATCTCAACCAAGGAGCATGGGGTGGAGCCAAACACCATGCTGGCCAATCAGCATCTCCTCATAGAGATGCATTGAATCAATGCAACCCTATGGGGAAAGTTCAGCATCTCCATACAGAGCGTGGAGACCTTGAACATTGCAGCACTGACCCAGGAAGCACCCGTAGTAACCCTCTGAGTGACTGCCACTGAGGTGTTCCTAGGCAGTAATGTAAACACTGCCTTTTACCTTAAAGGGCATTGTTTACAATAAAGAGTCTGCAGCAACATGCTATATACACCAGAACAACTACATTCAGCTGTAGTTGCTCTGGTGATTATTGTGTCCCTTTAACTTCACTGAGCTCTTTAGTACAATCAATTATATTGCCAGTGTTTGTCTATAGACATCACGCACCTGTTAGCATTAGGTGAGACTGAAACACCTGAAATCAATAATTAATAGGGTCACCATGTCATTTTGTCTAAGGATAAAGAAACACAATTGAATTGGCTTCTTTCACTTGGCCTGTCCAATTACTATCTGCTGTGCGCCAGTAGGGGGAACCCTTGCATGGTTGCAACAGAATTTCAGCCCAAACTTCAATATCAATATATCAGAAATTTAAAAATAGTGGATTTTAAATGGATTTTATTAAATATCACATGACAATAACGCTGTTGTTTATTTGTTTTTTTTTGTTAGTTTTTTTTAGCTGTGTTTGTAGCATTCAGCTATTTAATAAGATGAATATTTCTATTTCTAGCTGATTTTCTTTCTTATGGTACAATTTCAGTGTATGATGCACTCTTAGTGACTAATAACTCAAAAGGAATGGGATTATTCTCAAAATGTACCCTGTACCGAATGGGGCAAAGGCTGGGTCCCAAACAGAACATTAACTAGCTCCCAGGAGTCGGACTCACAGCTACCAAGACAAGCTACAGCCTTATGCAGTTCCTGGGTCCCAAACAGAACATTTACTAGCTCCCAGGACTCTCAGCTACCATGACAAGCTACAGCCTTATGCAGAGGTAGCTCTTTTGGATGGTCTACCTAAGAATACCTGTAGAGGCGACTCTCACACTGGCTGGGTCCTCGCGGCTGCCTAAACCACCTTATGGCAGACTGTGTTGGCCGAGGACCCGACACCAGGAGGGGGCACGACGGCTTGCTCGATATGCTGCCGGGTGCGAGATCCATCCAGTCTGCCCGCCCAGAGAGTGCCAATCACAGACAAAGGTCTGCAGCTCTGCAGTGTGCAGGGTCTCGCGAGACACATGGTCTGCAGCTTGGCAGTGTGATCACCGGTTATCACCACCGGACCACCAGAGAGCCCAATGGATTACCAGGGAACCCACAATGGACCACCAGGGAATAACAAAAGGTATTTAGTCCCCTTTCCCTCACACCCGCCTCCCATACATTATTAACCCCCTCACCATCACCCACCTCCCACACATTATTTCCCCCTCCCTCTCACCATCGCCCCCTTCCCTCTCACCATTGCCCCCTTCCCTCACACCATCACCAATTTCCCTCACACCATCACCCCCTTCCCTCACACCATCACCCCTCACTCTCACCATCACCACCTCCCTCTAACCATCAGACCCTCTCACACATTATTACCCCCCTCCCTCACACCATCACCCCCTCTCTCACACTATCACCCCTCTCTCACCATCACCCCATCCCTCAAATCATCACCCCCCCTCCCTCTCATCATCACCCTCCTCACTCAAATCTTTGCCAACCTCCCTCTCACCACCACTCGCCTCCCTCTCTACATCACAACCCCCCCCCACCCTGTCCCATTTACCCCCTTCGCCCGCCATGCTTTCCCTGCCACTGGTACCCCTTTAATCACCTTGTCACAGTCATCAGCTGAAAACATTCATCATACACACACAGTCAGGAAACATAGCTTTGCCATAAACACAATGCACAAAAGCCACAGGCAGACCCCCCATACAAACAACACACTTCAAGCAGCTAACCCTTACACATACGGTCCCAGACAAAAACGCAAACGTGCTCATAGAGACATACATTCACACACATAAGGATATTCTCTGTCAGACACACACTCTCAGGCACATACACTGGTAGACAGTGCATCAATGTGTATATGTGTGCATGTATTGCAACTCTATTTTTTTCACTTTGGTGTTAGTGGGGGTCTCATGTTTGAGTTTCGCCTAAGGCCTTATAAAGTCTAGAGCCACCTCTGAATACCTGCACCACTTATTTTATTTTATTCTTCTATTTCTTAGTTTCTCTTTTTACTTCTCTCCCCTACAATATTACTGCTTAATTGTTGACTTTGCACCTTCCATGCTCAACCCTTGTTTTGATAATTGTTTATTTTGTTAGTATTGTGCTAATAGTCTTGTTAATTTATGTCCACCATTTATGACCTACCCCTATTTTTGTTAGTTCACCATTTATGACCTACCCTTTTATCTTATATCTAAATCTCAAATACTTTCTCCTCTGTTCTTTCTTTCCTTTTCCTCATTAAAGGGATAATCCAGGCACCCAGACCACTTCTGCCCATTGGAGTGGTCTGGGTGCCAACTCCCACTACCCTTAACTCTGCAAGTGTAATTATTGCAGTTTTCATAAACTGCAATATTTATCTTGCAGGGTTAAGTCCTCCTCTAGTGGCTGTCTATCCGTGTTCTTAGAACTATGTGAGGACCTCCAGCATCGCCGAAATCCCCATAGGAATTTAGAGAGGTCTGATGCGCGTGCGCGGCCATTGACGTCAGCGGGGGAGGAGAGTAGGCGGTAAGTCACTGAATGAGGTTTTAATCCCTTCAGCAATTCGGGATGGGAGGTGGGAGGCAATTGCCCCCCAGGCCACCCTAAATCCTTTTAAGACCGGCCGCTGCAGGGCCGGTCCTAATGCTGCAGCCGCCTGAGCACTCTGTTAAGAGCCTCTGGCGGCTGCAGCACAGCTTCTCACCTCCCCTCCCCTTCCCTGTAGCGTGGCCAAGCGGTGCCTGGCCGGAGTGATGGGAAGGTGCACAGGAGTTTCTGTTTCCTGTACCCGGCCGGACTGACAGGAAGTGCACAACCACTGAGTGTGCACCTTCCTATCACTCCAGCTGGGCACCGCGGACCGGAGAGGAGCTTGGCCACTCTACAGGGAAGGGGGGGAGAGTAAAAAGAGAGGGGGAGTAAGAAGAAGGGGGGGAGTAAGAAGGGAGATAAGAAAAGAGGGGGAAATAGAAGGGGAGATAAGAAAAAAAGATGGGGGTAAGAAGAAGAAGGGGGTAAGAAAAAAGAGGAAGAAGAAAAGAGGTAAGAAGAAGAGGGAGTAAGAAGAAGAAGAAGGAGTAAGAATAAGAGAAGAAGAAGAAGAGGAGTAAGAAGAAGAAGAAGGAGGGATAAGAAGAAGAATAAAAGAAGAGGGGGAGTAAAAAGAAGAAGGGGTATAAAAGAAGGGGAATAAGAAGGAGGGAGATAAGAAGAAAGAAGAAGAAGAAAGAAGAGAAGAAGGGAAGAAGAAGAAGAAGGGGAAGAAGGAGGGGAGATAAGAAAAAGAGGGGGTAAGAAGAAGAAAGAAGGACAAGAAGAGAAGAAGAAGGGGTGGAAGAAGAAGGGGAAGAAAGAAGAGTAAGAAGGAGGGGAGTAGAAGGAGGGAGATAAGAAAAAGAGGGGGGTAAGAAGAAGAAGGGGAGTATGAGTGGGGAGTAAGAAGAAGAGTGGGGAGTAAGAAGAAGAGTGGGGCGTAAGAAGAAGAGTGGGGAGTAAGAAGAAGAAGAGGGGGTGTAATAAGATCAAGGGGGGAGTAAGAAGAAGAAGGGGGAGTAAGAAGAACAAGGGGGGAAGTAAGAAGAACACAGGGAGGAGGGGAGGTGAGGAGAACACAGGGAGGGTGGAGGGGGGATGAGAAGAGCACAGGGAGGGTGGGTGAGTGTGAGAAGAGACCGCTAGGGGAGGGTGGGGGAGAGGAGAGACCACTAAGGGGCAGGGGAGAGCTCTAAGGGACAGAAGGGACAGCTCTATAGGACAGGGGGCAAGACATGGAGCTCTTTCATACTACGCGCACACACACACAATGCATCCCTATACATACACAGAAACACACAATGAACCCCTACACACACAGAAACACAACATGCTTCCCTTACACACAGAGAAACACACAATGCATCCATTACACACACACAATGCAACCCTTACACACAGACAATGCATCCTTTGCACACATACACAGAAACACACAATGCAAACCCTTACACACACATGCAAACACACGCACTGCTTTTCTTACATACACACAGAAACACAATGCATCTCTTACACTCAATGCACACACATACAGACACACACCTTGCATCCCTTATGCATACAAACACAGATTCACACAATGCATCCCTTATACACAAATACAGACTGCTTCCACTACACACAAACACACTGCATCACCTACACAAACTGGTATACCTATACACTACATACCATAAGCACACATATTAGACCATCTACAATAACACATAACACATCCCCTACACACTCCACTCCCTGTGAGCGAACTCATGGGTGGGTGGGTGGACTTATGAGTGGGCCTTATGGGCATACTCACCGTCAGGCCCTGGGGCCCAGACCTTGAGCTGTGTAAGGGGCCAAAAAAAAAATGGAGCTGCTTCCAATTCTCCCAGAACATTGAATTTTGTGACCACAGTTGCAAACAGCCTCCAGAGATCCTGTTCTACACCAGACCAGTGGAGAGAGAGAAGAGGAGGCATGATTTAATCTTACAACAAATCCAGTAAGCAAATTTTTATAAATTTGGGGGGAACAGCTCTGTTTCCACAGTTTATTGGTGTTTACTCTGATGTCTGTATTAATATTGAGGGATGTCTAAGTAGTAACTTCAGTGTGTGTCAGCAGGGCCAGCCGTTGGGGTGTGCAAGCTGTGTGGTCACGCAGGGTGCCATGACAACAGAGGCGTCCGGCAGCCAACACAGCTCACAAGTTGGGGACACCAGCATATTCAATTTAAACGATTCGCTGGTGGTCCACTGGTGCGCACCAGCAGTAGGCGCAGTCAGATCATATTGTCTCCCTCGTGGTTCCGGCGCTCAGTTAGTGAGTCGGCGCACAGGCTCAGAGATTCTCAGCCTGCACTCTGACAACACTGAAAGTCAGAGCCGTGAAGGAGCGGGTATGGCAAAGAGCTACTGATTAGCATAACATCAATATCCGTTATAAAACCAGGAAAATGTGAACATGGATGGTGAACTGATTTGGTGGTGCAATGGTCCACTTGACTGGTTTTGCCCCCCAGGCCTAAGGCTGCCAGCCCTCCCCTGCCTTTCTTCCATCTCTTACTAGATGTCCTCCCGCTTTTTGAAACTCAATCTCTCTAAAACTGAACTCCTTGTCTTTCCTCCTCCTAATACTGATCCTCCTCTTTCGCTCTCCCTTCAAGTTAGTGGTACCCACATCAGTCCATCCTTGCAAGCATGCTGTCTTGGCGTTAAACTTAATTCTGGCCTCACATTTGAGCCTCACATCCAGTCTGTTACCAAATCCTGTAGATTCCACCTTAAAAACATAGCCCACATCCGCCCCTTTCTTACGCAAGTTGCTACTAAGGATCTTGTCCATGCTCTAGTAATCTCTCGCATGGATTATTGTAACCCTCTCCTAATAGGTCTTCCCACAAGTTGTATTGCCCCGCTACAGTCTGTAATGAATGCTGCAGCTAGACTGATTTTCCTCTCATGTCGCTCCTCTCACACCTCACCCCTCTGACAGTCCTTACATTAGCTTCCTGGATCCTATAGGAGTGAATTCAAGGTACTAATCCACATGACGTATGACGGTGCGCATGACGTGCGCATGCACGATCACGAGTGGACCGGCGGATTTAAAAGGGGAAAGAAGACGAAGAGGATTATGAAGATCCTGACGAAGAACCACTTGAGCCAGAGCCACGTTGGGACCCTCCAGTTTTTGTATTAGCAGTTTCTGCTTTACATGTTTGCTGCTTATGAGATTGTGTGTGGACATTATTACTGTGTATCATCCTTGTAGTGATGAGAGTTGCACTCTCTCACTTTATTTCACTGTCTGCACTTTAGCATTTGCACTTTTTCATGTTATTTAGAGCTGCTGTACCTATGGGTCTTTTAGCCTATTAAGGCTTTTTATGTATATATATCTTTTTAAATTTTTTTCACATTGTTGGTGCCCTTACATATTATTAAGTTTTTTCAATAAACTGTATTATACATATCCTTTCTTCACCCTCATTTATTCATCTGGTGAATATGGCGCCCTGTATTTTCTTGGTTTTACACCTATAAAGCACTGACCAATTCTAGCCCCTCTGTCATGATCTTGAGCAGGTCAGATATGAGACTTTTGCCAGAGTTAACATTCAGTTCTTTATTGCTGAGTTTGGACATAGTAGAATAACAGTAAAAATCCCATAAATGAAATTATAGGGAGAAGGAAAATAAGAGAACCTATAAACAGAGTTATAGGTGATAAGGTTAAATAATAGAAACAGAAGTTTGGGCAATATGCCCCAGACAGGTTATAAAACAGGATATAAATAATTAGTAGAAAACCTATAGAAGAAAGTAAGATATTTTAGAGAAAACAAGTAAAACAAAACAGTACAGAAAGGTATCAGCAATTACAGGTAAAGTAGACGTTAGTGAATCAGCCCACTGTTGGAAGGAGTACTGATAACTTAGGAAAATAACACCTTGCAATAGTAGTTAGTGGTAAAGTCTTTCAGGTAAACCAACAACTTCTATGTAAAGAACCTGTCTTGAGCAGGGTGTAGCCTTTTGTAGGAATGTCATTAGTAAGGGCAGGTGAAGATGATGAAGGAGAATTCAGAGTTAGGGAGGCCACTATCGGTGGAGTGCAGGTATTGTAGTAAAATAAAGAAGAAATTAAACATAAACTTAGTTGTCAGGATAGGATTAGGACACCCTCCTATCTCTCTTCACTAATCTGCAGGTGTGCCCCTTCTTGGTCTCTCCACTCTGCCCATGACCTTCTCCTGTCCGATGCTCGTACCCGTACAGCCAACTCACGCTTGCAGCACTTCTCTTTCCTTTGGAATAGCTTGCCTACGACCATCAAGTTCTCCCCTAGTCTTCAATCATTTAAAAAGTGCCTCAAAAGCTTATGGCCTCCTAGAGTAACCTCTACCTCACATACCTGTCCTTTGCTCTCTCCTAAAGGGCAGCACTCCATTCAATCTATTCAACCTTGAATTCATTAGAATACCTTTAAAGTGTCCCTCTTTCTCCATTTGTAATATTGGGAGACATGTTACCATAATATATTCCCTATATTCTCTGAAGAAGTAACTCTAGAGCTGTGTTTCTTAGCAACCTAAACAATAAAATTCAGAGACAGTAGACTTTGGAATGTAACTTTCCTGGCTAATTGTGTCAGCATTTAACTAATGGGTTAGCTCCTTCCTCTAGCCAATAGGATAGGAAAAACAATTAAACAATTAAGAAGGTAGGTAGGTATAACTGACATCCACCCTTGGGATTCAATCTGGTCTTTTCTACAGGGCAATTGGATATAAGATATAGAAAGCTGCGAAGCATCAGTTTGTTGCTGCCATCTCCTGAATCTGGCCGACAGCTCTGGGCACATGCGCGCATAGTGCGGTCACAAACAGCCCTTACTTTGGCAGTTTACAAAATGGCGGACTGGGTGTCCACCGCGAATTTTAGCATGCGCAAGAATTTAAAGGCGCAGAGGCTCAAACTTTAAACACAAAGTACGTTTTCAACTCTCTCTGCTTTGGTTTATCGGATTTTGTTGGAGTGTTTTGCTCACTAATTTGTGATTTTTAATGGGGATGTGGAGAAAGGAGTTGAGGGCTGCGCTTAGCAAAAGATAGACAAAACAAGGTAAAAATAAATGGAGATAAAAAACAATAATAAGTTTATCCACATATAAGAAAAGTATAAGTTAAAACAATCTCACTGATGTGCAGTGATATAATATAAGTCCTCAAATGTCACTCCGTCCTTATGGTGGGTGGTCCATATATGTGAAGACAAAATGAGAGAAGAGAGGCTTCCAATGGTGAAATATTGTATGTCCAAAATATAATATATATTCAAAGGAAAAGGTATTTCACTCACATTTGTTGGAGCTTTATCCAGCTCTCGGAGAGAAGGCACTTAGTGGTTTGATCCCCACTATCGGATATACTGAACAATTGATCTGTCCGTCCGGTTTAGAGTTTCTTTGGTGTAGGCTAGGACCTACTCAGATGTGCAATATTCGTTATGCTGGGGAGATAGGTCCGCCTTTCCGGTATTGGATGATAGGTGTCCACGAGATATATAAAACAGCAGATAGTGCTCTCAGTATGAACAACACAGTAATATGTATAAGTCAATTATACTTACAAAAATAGAGCAGACAGATACTGCTCTATTCCCACAGCGCTGGTGGAATTATCCCCACCTCAGGATTTCTTTGGACGGGATGCACTCCAGTGGTAGATGATAAAATAATACAATCAAAGTATAAAATAAAAATAAAAGAAATAAAGTGATAAAATAATATAAAATAATTTTATATAATAAAAATATGCCAGGGGTAAAGAAATAAATAAAAGTGTATAGAGTACAGTAAAATAAGTAAAAAATTGGTCCTATATTGGAAGGTAACCAAAAAGTAACTTTTATTGACTAAAATACACTTATAATAACCATTTACGCGTTTCACCTTTAAGGTTTTTTCAAAATGGTAAAAGAACAATACACCTGGCAAAGGGTTGAATATATAGGTTCACAAGGGTTTAAAATTGGCGCCAAAATTTGATGCACCAATAACAATAGAGATTACAATCAATCTTTAAAATACATTTCAAATTAACTTTTAAACATAATAAGCCTAGTTAGGCTTAAAATATATACAGATAATGAAAACGAAGCTTTGGAACGATATAGTTTGTTGTTGGTTCCGATCACGTGATCGGAACGCTGCGCGCATGCGCAGATCGTTTTTTGGCAAAATCACTTCCTGGTGTGAACGGAGTGCTCGGTGGCCGGCTGGTAATGCAAAGTATGTTGGGAAATGAAGTCCAGCCGGTCACTGGGCACCCCTACATACTGATATACATCTGGAGTCATGAAATAAGACCCCAAATTGGTTATAAAAACTTATAAATGTAACCTGCACACTATATTTGTATAAAAGGCACAGATACAGTCCATGATATAAAAACATAATCTTATAAACATGGTTAAAAGCACTTTACTAGAAAATAGAAATTT